CAAAGTTGTTGCCCAGGCTAGAGTGAGTGCCATGGCTTCAGGCTAGCTCACAGCAACCTCAAGCTCCTGAGCTCAAGTGATCCTTCTGCCTCAGCCTCCCGAGTAGCTGGGACTACAGGCATGTGCCACCATGCTTGGCTAATTTTTTGTATGTATATTATTAGTTGGCCAATTAATTTCTTTATAGTAGAGGCAGGGTCTCGCTCTTGCTCAGGCTGGTTTCGAACTCCTGACCTCGAGCAATCCGCCTGCCTCGGCCTCCCAGAGTGCTAGGATTACAGGAGTGAGCCACCGCGCCCAGCCTCCTTCTCCGTTATTGAAAAAAACACGTTTGATCTTGTTTTTGTTGAGGAACAGTGTGCATAAACAAGTATTCCAATATAATGTGGTAAAGGTGGTTCATAGCCATAAGGATGGTGGGGTATGGAATGGGGGGCTTATAAAGACTTGTGTGAAGCGTGCTCTGAGAATATCCGCACTGCAAGCATGTTAAGTTGGTCGGCAAGATTGGAGTGGGTCTTGGGCCCTGAGGTAATAGAGGGCTTTTGAAGAGTTTTAAACAGGCCGAGCAGTAGCTCAAGCCTGTCATCCTAGGCACTGTGGGAGGCCGAGGTGAGAGAATTGCTTGAGCTCTGGAGTTTGAGACTAGCCTGAGCAAGAGTGAGACCCCGTCTCTACCAAAAAGAAAAAACCAGCAGGGCATTGCGGCAAGCGCCTGCAGTCCCAGCTGCCCTGGAGGGTGAGGGAGAAGTATGGCTTAGAGCCAGGAGTTGAAGTTTGCAGTGAACTACAATGATGCCACTACACTCTACTCAGAGCACAAAGTGAGACTGCCTCAACAACAAAAACCCAAGGAAACTGAAGAGTTCTTAAGCAGACACGATCAGATTTTCAACCTTGGTGGTTGGGAGAGAGTATTTGAGGAGGATCATATCAGGCAGGTAGATCTGTTAGATTGTATAAGGGACCTTATAAGTTCATGCCTTGTATAAGGGCTGTGGGGGAGAGTGTAAAATGACCTTTTGGCTTGAGAAATTGCTTTGAATGGATGGTGGTGTCATTCACTGATAAGGAGAAATGGGTCTGGGGAATGGGAATGATGATGCATTCAGTTTCCTGCATGTGGAGAGATCTATCAGACTAGTAGATTATGTTTGAAATGAGATCAGAAGTGAGATAAAATTTTGGAAGTTATCAGTACAGGTAGTTGCTAAAATCATGAGTGTGGTTGAAGTCACTTGGGAGAGAGACAAGAACCTTACAGATAATAATTAGGGCATGGGTAGAAGATGTGGAAGAATCATCAGAAAAGACTGGTGCTAAGTAAAGCAAGGGAATAGCTTGAAAAGGAGAAATTTGTATCAATGCCAAGTCTAGTAAGGTAAGAATTGAGTATTGTTAACTGGACTAAGCAGTATGGAAGTTTATTCATAGAATAGCTTCTGTAGTTGGTTAGAAGCCATATTGCATAGGGTTTTAATGAATGGAAGACAAAAATGGAGATTTTTCAATAAACTAAAGAAACCACTGTGGGAAAACAAACATCTAATAGAGGGACTTCTGGGCAAAGGGAGGTTTCTGGATGAGATTATGCTAATAGTTTAGGGAAAGAACTGGTAAGGAGGTTTGGAGAGATATTGATCACAGAGATTAGGCTTTACTTCATGTTTTTCTTGTCTTTCTAGAATTTTCGTGTGGATGTAGTACACATGGATGAAAACTCATTAGAATTTGACATGGTGGGAATTGATGCAGCCATTGCCAATGCTTTCCGGAGGATCCTATTAGCTGAGGTAAAAGCAGACATGGTGGCAAGCCTGGAGTTGTTGTGGGAAACTGCCGTCACTTCACTTGTAGAATTAAGTGTCCCAGGCTGGGCATGGTGGCTCACTGTAAGTAATCCTAGCACTCTGGAAGGCCGAGATGGGAGAATCCCTCAAAAAAAAAAAAAAAAAAAAAAGTGTCCCAAGCTGTTCCTTATTTTTCTTGGAATTTTGCTGATCATTTCACTGCCCCATTCTTTTGCAAACTTTTCATTAAGCATTCTAGAAAGAGATAATTGCCGTATCTCGGAAGGTTGGGGGGTAGGTGGGGAGCCTACTGAGGTTTTTTTTTAGGCAGAGTCTAACTCTGTTGCGTGGGCTAGAGTGCCATGGCATCAGCCTAGCTGACAGCAACCTCAAACTCCTGGGCTCAAGCAATCCTGCTGCCTCAGTCTCCCAAGTAGCTGGGACTACAGGCATGCGCCACCATGCCTAGCTAATTTTTTCTATATATTTTTAGTTGTCCGGCTAATTTCTTTCCATTTTTAGTAGAGATGGGAGGGGTCTTGCTCTTGCTCAGGCTGGTTTCAAACTCCTGACCTTGAGTGATCCACCCACCTCGTCCTCCCAGAGTGCTAGAATTACAGGTGTGAGCCACCACGCCTGGTACCTACTGAGTTTTTGCAGATGGGTGATTCTTTTTCCTTGGGCAGGTGCCAACTATGGCTGTGGAGAAGGTCTTCGTGTACAATAACACATCCATTGTCCAGGATGAGATCCTTGCTCACCGCCTGGGGCTCATTCCCATTCACGCTGATCCCCGTCTATTTGAATATCGGAACCAAGGTGAGGGTCTGAGAAAAGGAAATCTTGAAGGAAATGGATTGCCTGAGTTCAAATCCTGGATTGACTGTGTGTCCTTAGGCTAGTTATTCATCTTTTGGTACATCAGTGTTTTCATCTGTAAGAACATTTATCCTTGCCTTCCAAAGTTTGTCAAGAGGATTAAATGAAAAATGTATGTAAAGCATTCAGCATCATGCCTGGCATGCAAATGTTCACTGGTTTTAAGAGGTCCCTCCATTTGTGCAGGAGATGAGGAAGGCACAGAGATAGATACTCTGCAGTTTCGTCTGCAAGTCAGGTGTACTCGGAACCCCCAAGCTGCTAAAGATTCCTCTGACCCCAATGAACTTTATGTGAACCACAAAGGTGAGTAGTGGTAGGATGAGGAAGAGGGCCGATCTACTGGCGGGTGCTAATGTTATAGATGGAGGTCTTCTGACATGTTTTTCCTCCAGTGTACACCAGGCACATGACATGGGTCCCCTTGGGGAACCAGGCTGACCTCTTCCCAGAGGGCACTATCCGACCAGTGCACGATGATATCCTTATTGCTCAGCTGCGGCCTGGCCAGGAGATTGACCTGCTCATGCACTGTGTCAAGGGCATTGGTGAGAACCCTGTGGCCTGCCCTGGGTAGGGAGGCAGTTAGACTGCAGTGGGTAAGGTGTTCCTAAAAGACTCAGTTGACAGGCAGAAAACCATCAGGCTTGTGCTTTTGCTTTCAGTGGCTTGGGAGAATGAAGAACGGTTTCCTACAGGCTGATAGCCCTTTTCCCTCCAGGCAAAGATCATGCCAAGTTTTCACCAGTGGCAACAGCCAGTTATAGGCTCCTGCCAGACATCACCCTGCTTAAGCCTGTGGAAGGGGAAGCAGCTGAGGAGTTAAGCCGGTGCTTCTCACCTGGTGTTGTTGAGGTGCAAGAAATCCAAGGTATGGTATTTGGGATATTATTCAGGTCAGGTCCTAAAGTATATTTTCTTTGAAAGTGACAGAGAAGAGTATATAAAGACTCTGGGCTCCAAAAAAACAAAGTATGATATATTTTGTTTTCATTAGGTAAAAAGGTGGCCAGAATTGCCAATCCCCGGCTAGATACCTTCAGCAGGGAAATTTTCCGGAATGAGAAGCTAAAGAAAGTTGTACAGCTTGCTCGGGTTCGGGATCATTATATCTGTGAGTATGAAGTGGCAAAGTGTGTGTGTGTGGGGGTTGGTGGCAGGGTGCTCTTTGGTGCTGTAGCTTCCTCTCAGAGTCCTGATGTGGAATATAGGGATAACCTATAATAGAAGCCTTTTCAATGTAAGCTCTGCCTAGGCTAAAAGTGTCTCTTTGATCCCCAGTCTCTGTTGAGTCAACGGGTGTGTTGCCACCGGATGTGCTGGTGAGTGAAGCCATCAAAATACTGATGGGGAAGTGCCGACGGTTCTTGGATGAACTAGAAGCAGTTCAGATGGACTGAGGTTTGCACTGGAGTTACTTGATGGCTGCTGGGCTTGGATGCTCACCTGAGGCATGCTGAAGCTTTGGGTTCTGGTCTGCCCTACAGGACTGCTATGGAGAGCCCAGTGTGACTAAGGGTCCTGAGTTTTCTAGGACAATTCCAATTTTATTTTGAATCAATACATTTGTTAAATGTGCCAAAAAATGACTCTTATGCCTTTGTAAGGCCTTTGATGTAAATAAATTCACATCCTAAATTATTTTTCAGAGACTTGAGTTTTGGTGTAAAAATAGGGGGCCTCACTTCAGAACCTGTTTGGCATTTAGCAGTTAAGGACATTGGGCTCAGGGCAAGCGTGGTGGCGCATGCCTGTAATCCCAGCACTCTGGGAGGCAGAGCAGGAGAATCACTTGGGCCCAGGAGTTCATGGTTGCAATGAGTTATGATGACACCACTGCACTATAGCCTGGGCAGGTGATGGAGTGAGACCCTGCCTCAAAACCAACATGGGTTCAGATGCCACTGCAGGTTAGGGCCAAGCTAAAAAACCTCCTGAGGAATGCCAAATTGTGGTGGTTTCTGGGGACATAGCAAAACCCTAGAAAAACATCCAAGGAGCCAGAGTGAATGTCCCACTTTGCCCATCTCCTGGATTACCAGGGAAGTTCATGTTGCTAGTGACAGCTTTGCAAAGAACAGCAATTCCCTTTGGACAGTCCATGGAAATCAGGCCCAGCAGCCACATAGCAAGACACTGAGAATGGCATGGGGTGCCTAGTCTGCATGGTCAGGCATAGAAATCTAACTGGCATACTATTTCAGAGAGCTTGACAGATGAGGTCCATCAGTCACAATTCTTCCTGTCTAGTCCCCTTAGGATACTCTTAATAACTCTTGAGTATGTTCCTGCTTTCAAGACTGATTTGAAAAAGGCAGATGGGATCCTTTGTGTATGAAATTGAGATTTTTACTGACATGCAGATGTGCTTTAGAGTTAATGTTTCTACAAAAAGTTTCTATAAACAATAGAAAATATCTAGCATGAAGTCACAGGATGTTAAAAATATTACAACACAATAAATATAACTACACCCTCCACAGCCCCAACCAGAGAGAAGAGCAGGCAGCTATCAAGTTTGGAGGGAAACACTCTTTGAGATCGCTTTCACAATCTACAGAAACCCCAAGCACCACACAGGAAGAGAGCAGGTGCAAGTCTGGGTAGCAGAGAGCTGCAACATGAGACTCCTAAGCTGTGCTTCCCTACTTCGCTTCCTTCTAGCCTTAACCCTGCCTATAGCCTGCACCAGCTAAAAGTTATAGCTTTAGTCCACTCTGGCTCTCACTGAAATCCTCTTGTCAGGGGATCAGAGAGATGACAGACATGTCTGTTTAGAGTACATGGACCACTCTGTGGTCTCTGTATGGAATAATCCTGTCTTACGGTCACCAGTAATCATCTCAGGGCTAGGGCCCATATCCATGTCCTCTGCTTACAGGGCCTTCCAGTGACCTCTAGAATGGACTCAGTACAGGTTATGATGGGAAAGCATATTTTTTCTTTTGGAAATGGCCCTTGAGAAAAGTAACCAGGGCCCATGAAATTTTGGAAGGCACCTGGACTCAGATAGTCCTAGGAAGAGAATAGTTGCTTTGCTAGCTATTTGTCACAGATACAGCCTAGCTAGTCTGGATTATTCTTTGATGACAATGCTGTCATATGACATTAGATAGGGTACTGTGGCTCTTCTGCCTGAGTGTACCCCAAGGTGGGGCTAAGCAGACTGAGGGGTCATTGATGGAAGGATAAGATGTGTGAGGTCCAAGGGGGATGTCAGCACTAAAGTCTGCCCAGTTCTGGTCCTTGGAGGTTCTACACTTGATACCGTGCCCAGAGTTTAGCAGTAGCCCATACCACGGATCCCATCAGGTGACCAAATTCTTGCCCAAAATGAAGTAGAGGGAACTGGCCAAATTTACTTCAGCACTTAGTACCCAACCCAAGCATGCCCCTAGGGAGTGGGGATGGTTTGCTGCCAGCTCTGCAGAAGGGGGCTCAGGGATACTTGTAGCGAGTGGTTCAGGATAAAGTCTGGCACAAGTAAGTGAAGGCTGATACCTTGCCGCAAGCCCAGCTAGTTGCAGTGTTGGGTACAGCACCCCTAGTTACCATTCTGCATAGGTGTGTGGCTGCATGGAGGTGGGAGGGCTTGGGGAGAAGGGCTGCTCTGCTCTAGCTTTTTTTGGAAAAGCCAAAACTCCAAGTAGACTAGGAACTACCTGGGACATGTAGACAGAACAGTGTAAGCCCTAACTCCCTCTCTTGATACTTAAGTATAATTACTTCTGGCCCTGCACAGGCCCACTCTCTCTAGCTCCAGACCCGGATCTCTCCAGGCTGACAATGGTGGGAAGTGAGGTGGCAGTGTGAGAAGGGCCTAGACATTAGCTACGGAGGGGAAGAAGAGATGACGATAAAGGCAGGAAGGATGCCCAAAAGCTTGATTCAGGGTTCAAAGATGGTGGCGAGGCTGCCCATGTCATTGTCCAGCACCTCTGTCTCCAGCATTGGCTTTGTTTTTTTGAAAAGTGATGGAAGATTCTTAATGTGAACTTCTTTTCGGAACTGCTCTCCCAAGGGTTTCTGTAAACAAATGAGAAAGAACTAATACTGGACCTTGAGTGGTAGGTTAAAGATCATTCCACCATAATGCTCTGTAGTTGGTTTCTGGTTTGCCCAAACACATGGGCTAAGAAGGGATTAGTAGTACTAATGAAAGTGCTTAACCTACCCCAATGCAACCAGCAATGAGGCGTTTAAATTGGTCCTTCCGGCGCTTGTCAGCCACTTTCTGCTGGGAGGGGTTCAAAAGCTTGCAGTCAAACTGGTCCAGAGAGTCTTTCTGTATTTCAGGAATTTGCTCCATAACAGTTCTTATCTCCAGGTACCTTGGGCGCTGATAGGTGAGGATAAACTTAGTTGATGCAGGTTTGGAAACTGCCACCCTCTTCACCCTCCCTATTCCCTGCCACACCCCACCCACCTCTCAGGGGCACCACTAGCAAATTGGGCAGACGCCTACATCTAGGATAAGGCTCAAGAGACTGGGAGCAGGGGATGCGAAATAAAGCCACAGCCACCCTGCCCCCAATGCTGTCCCCACTCACCAGTGCTTCATATATCTGGAAGGCCAGGTGGACCAGAGAAGCCATGCACCCGTCGTGCTGCCCATGCGTCTGTAAGCCTTTCAGCACACTGGTGAAAAGCCATGTAACGGCATCTGCGAGCAGCGTCCCTGACAGCACCTGGGGAGAAAACTGTGTTCAGGGCCACAGGGGGCCTCTCTGAAGGCCCTAGCACCCCAATTCTTCCAAATGATTCAGTTAGTCTGTATGACCCAAACCTTCCATGAGGAGCAGGGAGAAGGGGTAAATAACCATACTTGTTTGAGGAGAGGCCAGCAGAGCTGTGTGGTTGTCCTCTGACAGGACAGAGTATCCTTCCAGGCCAAGGAGTTGAAGGCTGTAATTAGTAGCGCTGTACAAACATCCTGAACAGGAAAAGATGAAGGATTACTATGGGAAAACAAACACAATTTTCTCTAACTATTCTTACACATAAGAAGCTGTATTATAATAGGTAAGCAGGAAAATGACAAAAGCAGCCACTGAAAAGAAGTGAAGTTATTTCCTGTTTTTGTTTATCAGGAAGTCAAAAAGAAAACAATATGTAAGAGAAAACCTATGTATAGAACAGAGACAAAGCTCCGGCCTCAGGGAGGCGCTAACACTGGGGATTTGCATCAGTGTAACTGTGTTTCCTGAGAGCCTATACCCACGCTAGCATGGGAGACACCATAGCCTTGCTCCTTCTCCCTTTTTTTCCTGGGGGTTTGGGAAGCAGGAACTTATATAAAGGAGTATTACAAAAAACTCTTTTATGATATCCCAGAGTGAGAAAAGTGGAAGCTGGTTCCCCAGCTAAGCGAGGAGAAAAGGCATCACTTATCCCCTCCACCCACCTCATGCTTCATCAGACATTTGCCCAGATCTGTGAGCTCTGCCATGGCTGAGGGGCCATCTGTGGCCATCATCTCTTCATCTGTAAGTAGAGAGCAGAACGTTAAACTTCATCCTTTTGGAACGGAGAAGAATATCCTATTCTGACACAAATCTAAAGAGCAAAGCAAAGTTGACTATCCTAGGCTGACTGATGCCTGAATAGTACTAGGACATTCTCCCCCCTTACAAAAGGATGTAAAGCCCACGCCCACGGCAGATCTTCTAGGGATGCATCCAGCCATACGTGTGGGAAACAAGGGAGCTGCTGGGCAGTAACTTCAAAAGCTACAAATGCAGAGGCTCTTTCACCACTGAACAAGTGAGCACACACTGTAGCAGGCACTGACTCAGTTACTGGGAATATAAGCCCATTCCCTGATGGGAGCTTACATTCTAAGAGGGAAGTAGGTAATGAATACATAAATAAAAACATAATGTCAGAAAATGGTAAGTGATATGAAGAAGAATAAAGCAGAGGAAAAATACATAGAGAGTAGCTGGAGTTGCTATTTTTGATAAGTTGGTCATGGAAGACCTCTTGTAGGAGGTGACATCTGAGCAGAGACCTGAATGAAGCATGGGAACAGGATGTATGTATAGTTGGGAGAGAATCACTGTATATAGAGGAAATAGCAAGTGCACAGGCTCTGAGGTAGGAGTATGATGGAGGAACACAGCAAAGGGCCAGCACAGGTAAGAGCCAGATGGAAGACATCTCATCAACACCAGACTACTAGGCAAACAGTTTCTATAGGAACTGACCTGGTTCAAAAGGAACAATATTTAGGAGCCTAAGGGTAGACCTCCAGGCAACAGGCTCACTTACCATCTCCATCTGCAGGGGGAGCAGTACTGTGGTCAGCACCTCTCTTTGAAACACAGCAAACCGCTAAAGCAAGAAACCAGGGTTACTGGGCGAAGGAAGGGTTATATACTACCACAACAGCTACCTCAGGTGGACTAATCCTAAACCATCTCTGGCCAGGTGGGGCGGGGGGAAGGTCCAGGGCACAAAAATCTGCTTCACTAATAGAAATAGAGGCCTTTTGATGACCTTGACCAAACTGTGTTTTGGTCCTTCTTCAAGTACAATTAACTGGAGAGAAATTACAGAATTCTGAGAGTAAGTGACTAGAATGGATGCCTGATACATCCCTGGTCTACCTTGGGTCTCAAACAAATGAAATGACCAAGTACCATTTCCTTCAACATTTCCAAAAACAGAAAAGAAAATTAACCACCTCTGTGTCCATGAATTTAAATTTTCCCTATTTTGACAAAAATAGGAAGTTATTTCCAACATGAATCTAAATTCCTCTTGATATTTTAGACCCTTTCTTCATGTTCTGGCCTTGGTAAAAGTCAGCTCACAATCCATAAAATGTCCTTAGGCTGACTGAAAGATTACCTAGCTTCTTACTAGTCATCTCGTATCAGTCAGTATTGTTGCAAACACAAATCTCTGCACCCATCTAACCTTCATGGAGTTGGCTGAGTGACCAGCTCTTTTACCAGGAACATTCTTCTATACTACCCTTGTTCCCACATGCCACTTACTGATTAGGTCCATGACTTCTCGAGTTAACATCCTCACCAGTTGTTCTTCCAGCATCTCTTGAGACTCTGGATTTTCATCTGTAGTCTCATCTTCTCCACTGCAGAACACCAGGGGACCAAGTTCCATGGGAGCACAGAAAGGGAAGGACAAGGAAAGCAGTGACCCTAACGAGACCCCCATGCCAACTTTCTTCTCCTCTGGGTCTATGTTCCATGTAAAAGTTGGGAGTAGACAGCAATGACACACTGAAGGACATTATCACTAGTGACTCTGTCCAGTTGGGCCTCAAAATCCTGAGATAAGGTATTGGTACCCCCTTTGAAGGCTTGATCTCAGAGTCTGCCTATTGATCACAGCCTGTCCAAATAAGCTATCTACCACCTAGGCTGAGAATGACTATAACCCAGTGCCATTCTAGTCTTAGGACAACAGAATCTCTGCTCTCTTCCTTTCCCCACAACAGGCCTGCTACCAGCTCACACACCAAGGAGAGTGGATATTCCTTACCACAGCTGGCTCCTCTGGTTGATGACTTGCCATTTCTGGGAAAGCCTCTGTGAAAACACAAAGGAAATAAATGCTAAAGTTGGAGATAAGATTGGAACACAGGACATCTAAGGTCCACTTCATGATTAGCCAAGGATCATAGCGACAGCCTCAGTAGACCCCACATTGTCTAAAAGCCAGATATGGTTTCTATAACCTCTCCCACATCCATGATGAGGGCAGCATATCAAACACCTTTGCTTGGAAAGGATTAATCTCATTTTTAGAAATCCTGGGTATCTAGACACATCTGTTCTCCATCCAGTTGGTCCCTCAGCTTAATTCCAAAGTCAAGGAAGTAGACCCAGGGGAAGCATTCCCCTGATCACCTGTCCTCAGTTAACAGAGGTTAGAAGCAGAATCTGCATCTTGTTCTTCGTGGCAATCAAATCAGTTTAGTTCTTTGGGAGCTGCTCAAATCCACTGCAGCAATGACAGTCTGCTGGAGTGGGAGCCCAGACCAGCCAGTGAGGCAGGGCTAGGAGAAAATAATTCCAGGAGCTCCTGGCTTGGAAGGCTCAAAAACGCACCCTGCCCCAAGAGTATTCTTCATTCCCCTTTCCCGACCTATCTCTTACCATGTGGAGGTAGGTGAAAAGAGGTCCAAGAATGGGAGATACCAGGGCTTCATAGTGCTCTGGGGGACAGAAGAGCACCAGAGGCTTCACAAAGACCCGTGCTGCAGCAAGTTAAGTAGTTTTTGCACATGAGCACATACCCCTCACCTGCCAGATGGTGTGCTTGCACCCCTGGGCAAAGTCAACTCCTAAAAGACTTGCAAGAGGCCAAGAACATCCTGTGTTATTAGGGAAAAATCTTTAAGTTCTTTTCCTAAAATCCTAAGCCACATTGATACCCAAATCCATTATATTTTTAGTTTAACTATCCTTTCTACAAGGCTGCACATTTATGGTCACTGGCTTGCCTCAAAAGTAGGAGGAAAAAAAAAACAGGAAGGAGGACACCCTTCTAATAAACTCTCCTTCAGCATTCTCCTTTTAATTTCAGGGAAGAAGGAGACTCACAAAAACCTCAAGAAAGGGTCAGAATGAGAATGAAGTAAAAAAGTACTTCTAAAAGTACTGACACTACATGCATAGCCATGCACAAAAAAATTAAAAAATAAAAGTACTGACAAAATACAGAAAAGGGATAAAAGCCTTATCTTTCATATTTCTAAGAAGTAGGAAGGTAAAGCTTTACCCCTAAGGAAAAACTTACAAAAGTAGAAAGAGCTTTTAAGATCCCTCTGGACTGTCTTTTTGTTTTTCTTGCTATTTATTTCAATCTTCCTATCATTTTAATGACATTATCATTCTCTTAGATACATAATCCCATTTCTTCCTTGCAGGTCTGCCTTTCTCTGGTTCCTGTCTCAAATTTTCTGACCTTTTGGGTTACCTAGGAATTCTTTTTTTTTTTTTTTTTTTGAGACAGAGTCTCACTCTGTTGCCTAGGCTAGAGTGAGTGCAATGGCGTCAGGCTAGCTCACAGCAACCTCAAACTCCTGGGCTCAAGCAATCCTTCTGCCTCAGCCTCCCAAGTAGCTGGGACTACAGGCATGCGCCACCATGCCTGGCTAATTTTTCCTATATATTTTTAGTTGTCCGGCTAATTTCTTTCTATTTTTAGTAGAGACAGGGTCTCACTCTTGCTCAGGCTGGTTTCAAACTCCTGACCTTGAGTGATCCTCCCACCTCGGCCTCCCAGAGTGCTAGGATTACAGGCGTAAGCCGCCACCATGCCCAGACAGGGATTCTTTTTTTTTTTAATTACAAATTTGTTTGGGCTGGGTGCAGTGGCTCACGCCTGTAATCCTAACACTCTGGAGCCAAGGTGGGCGGATCACTCAAGATCAGGAGTTTGAAACCAGCCTGAGCAAGAGTGAGACCCCGTCTCTACTAAAAGTAGAAAGTAATTGACCAACTAAAAATATATATACAAAAAATTAGCCGGGCATGGTGGCACATGCCTGTAGTCCCAGCTACTTAGGAGGCTGAGGCAGGAAGATCGCTTAAGCCCAGGAGTTTGAGGCTGCTGTGAGCTAGGCTGACACCACGGCACTCTAGCCGAGGCAAAAGAGTGATACTCTGTCTCAAAAAAAAAAAAAATTGTTTGGCTGGGCACAGTGGCTCACACTTGTAAGCCTAGCACTTTGGGAGGCTGAGGTAGGAAGATCACTTGAAGCCAAGAGTTTGAGACCAGCCTGAACAAGAGGAAGACCCCATCTCTATAAAAAATAGAAAAATTAGTGTAGTGGCATGTGCCTGTAGTCCTAGCTCTTCATTAGGCTGAGGTAGAAGGATCACTTAAGCCCAGGAGTTTGAGGTTGCTATGAGCTATGATGATGACATCTAGCCTGGGGAACAGAGAGATTCTGTCTAACAAAAAAAAAATTTTCTTTTTCTCAGTCAAACATCATCAACCAAAAAATAAAATACGAGATGGGGCCTCACTACAGTGCCCGGGCTGGTCGTAAACTCCTGAGCTCAAGTGATCCTTCCACTTCAGCCTCCTGAGTAGCTGGAATTATAGGCACATGCTACCACACTCGGTTATCTAGGAGCTTTGGAAAGGATATGAAGCATGGGTCTGAGTCGGTAGTCAGGAATATTGTTCAAGTTGATGAAGGCTGAGCTGAGCAGCTGGGTGGCAAGGTCCTCCACGGTATAGAAGTCTTGCTGCATGGAAGGGCCTGCCTTCCCTAGGATATGAAAACTGCAAGGGAAAAAAAAGTCATTGGTAACATCATTCAACATTTGTTATTGCCAGCCCTGACTACCCCAAGAATTTCATTTCTAGTCTACAGTTAGATTTTTCAGCTAGAAAAGCAATTGTTATTTACTCCTTAAGAAAACTTTTAAGATGTGGACTTAATCCTTTATCAAATCTGAAAATAAAATACTTCTCACCCATTCTATAACAGGTTTTTTTGGGGAGACAAGCTCTTGCTCTGTCGGCAGACTAGAGTGCAGTGGTATCACCATAGATCACTGCAACCTCCAACTCCGGGGCTCAAGCGATTCTCCTGACTCAACATCCCTAGTAGCTGGGACTACGGGCACACACCACCATGCCCAGATTATTTTTCTATATTTTTGTGGAGATGGGGGGTCTCATTCTTGCTCAGGCTGGTCTTGAACTCCTTGGCCTCCCAAAGTGGTAGGATTATGGGCGTGATCCAATGCGCTTGGCCCAAAACTTCTTAATAGCAGATACAGCATATTTTTAAACATAGATGTTAGTAGCCAAGATCAATAGTAGCTTTCATTTTTATGTAACGTGGCCTTACGATGGAGGATCTCATTAGTTTGGCTGATTAGAGCACTGGGTTAGGAGGCCAAAGCCCTGCGTGTTGTGCACTAAGGCCCGTTACCTCCCCATCCCACAGCCACAACCTGAAGAGAAAATCCTGGCCAGCGCCTCCCACAATCCCATGAAAAGTAGTCCTTGAGTCTGAGCAAATGCATCCCTACCACTCATCTTCTACTTGGGTCTCATTTTATGCACCAGAAACAGACAAGTCGGGCATGAAACATCAAGTCATAGGTAGGACTGTGAGGCTCATAGACAATTATAAAAAAAGAATCATTCGTTTCCTGTCAAATTCTTGCCTTACCTTACCTGTATACTAGAATTCTAGATCGAAAGTCCAACCCATAGCCACTCCTATACAGTCCATATCTACAAAGGAAATGTGGAGAGGCAGTATTGGTTCCTTACCAGTTTTCATAGAGAGTGGAGAAGAAACGCTGCATTCTTTCCAAGACCGTTTTGTAGACAGGAGCATCATTGAGTTCCAAGAGAGGCTGAGGTAATCCTACAGAGAAATGTGAGTCAGGAACATGCTGCTGCTCCAGTGTCAGGAGTCTCAACTAACCAACATTCTACAGCAGACGTGGTTTGGGGTCAGAGTGTATGTGTGTGTGGGTGTGTGTGTTGTAATTGCAAAACAACTGGCCACATCTTCTACCAGCTTGGAGGCTCTACGGGCTTTCCTAAAGGTGACTCGTTAAACTCTCTCAGTAGGGAAAACTGAAAGCTACTTAAAAACGCAGGACTTCAGACTGAACCTTGAGTACTCCTAACTTTTTCCTGGGTTTTTCCAGACAGGACAGGTACTAAACAAATAGTGACAATTCGAAAGGATCTCTCCATAAAGCTCTAGGGATGACCTTTCCCAACTTAACTCATGTAAACCTCTTTTTCACACAAAATCTTACATAAAAGCCCAAGATGTATAGCAGATAAAATAAAACCCACTTACCTCAGTATTAACAATTGCCTTAAAAAACCTATACCTTTTTTTTCATAATATCTACATTATTTTTTTAAATTTCAGTATTATTATGAGGGTACAAACATTTTGGTTACATTTTATGTCTTTGCCTCACTCAAGTGAGGATTAGAGGCATGCCCTTCCCCTCTACAATCCTCACTGTGTCCATTAGTTGGGAGTTAAACACCTCCCCCCCCCCCCCCCCCCCGAGAATATTACTACCATGTGAGCACCATAGTGTTGATCAGTCAGTGCCAATTTGATGGCGAGTACATGTGGAGCCTATTCTTCTGATCTTGTGAAACCTCATTTCAGATAATGGGCTCAAGCTCTATCCAGGAAAATATGAGGTGCTAGATCACTGTTGTTTCTTATTATTGAGTAATATTCCATTGTATACATATACTGAATTTTAATAATCCACTCATGAATTGATAGGCACTTGGGTTGTTTCCACATCCTTGCAATAGTGAATTGTGCTGCCATAAACATTCGGGTGCAGATGTCTTTATTACAGAATGTCTTTTGCTCTTTTGGGTAGATGCCTAATAGTGCTATTGCTGGATCCAATGGTATTTCTATTTTTAGCTCTTTGAGGTATCTCCAAATTCTTTTCCACAGAGGTTGCCCTAATTTGCAGTCCCATATGTAATTAGAGGTTTTATATTCCAAGTCTTAGAGTCAGAAGCTACCAGAGGGAACTGTTTGTCCATTCTAGTACATCTGGTTGGCCACTTATTTCTATAGCAAAAGTTCCTGGCTTAACCTGAATAATGGAACAGGGAGTGTGGTGAAGCCACATTTACTTTTTATATTAATGGCAATACACATCTTAGAAGTTTTATTTATTTATTTTTTTTGAGACAGAGTCTCGCTTTGTTGCCCAGGCTAGAGTGAGTGCCGTGGCGTCAGCCTAGCTCACAGCAACCTCAAACTCCTGGGCTTAAGCAATCCTTCTGCCTCAGCCTCCCGAGTAGCTGGGACTACAGGCATGTGCCACCATGCCCGGCTAATTTTTTATATATATATCAGTTGGTCAATTAATTTCTTTCTATTTATAGTAGAGACAGGGTCTCGCTCTTGCTCAGGCTGGTTTTGAACTCCTGACCTCGAGCAGTCCACCCGCCTCGGCCTCCCAGAGAGCTAGGATTACAGGCGTGAGCCACCGCGCCCGGCCAGAAGTTTTATTCTTATAGGTATCTGCAACACAGACCTTACGTGGATGGTGCCAAAGGAAAAGATCCAGGTCCATCTAGGCTGAGACAGACAGATATTTGCCTGAAAGGCAAATTAACACCTGTCCTTTGGTTAACTTCACAGCTGAGGAATGCTCATTGGATTACTTGGCCATAGCCAGGCCCAGGCAGAGGTTATGGCTGGGAAAAAGAGACACTGTGGGGATTGTGATGGTGAGCCAGCCTGGAGCTTCAGGGCATAGGTTAGACAACTCTGATGTCTCCAGCTCTAACTTCTAACCACAATCCCAGCCTGGCTCTCTGTGTTCCAGCCACATGAGTCGCCCTTCTTTATTTCTTGGATATACCATATGCTCTTTCCTGCCTGCCTCATGATCCTGTACCTGCCATTCTGTCTGTCCAGAATGTCCAGCATCTCTCCTTGCTCCCCAGCCTGGCTAGTTCCTACTCATTCTTCTAGTCTTCATTGGGAGGCAAGCTTCTGACTTCTCTCCAAGACTGGGTTAGGTCTTCCAATAAACACTCTCACAGAGCCCTGCCACTTTCCTTCAGAGCAAACATCACAATTATGACTGCATAGTTATTTTCATGCTTATTTTCAATGGGAAATGAGTTAAAGCAACATTCTAATCAAGGTAACGATTGGGAAACATGGCATAAAATGGAATCATTTAAAAACTTCAGGGTGGGCGTGGTGGCTCACGCCTACAATCCTAGCACTCTGGGAGGCAGAGGTGGGAGGATCGTTCAAGGTCAGAAGTTTGAAACTAGCCTGAGCAAGAGTGAGACCCCATCTCTACTAAAAATAGAAATTGGCAAATTAAAAAATATATAGAAAAAATTAGCCAGGCATGGTGGCGCATGCCTGTAGTCCCAGCTACTCAGTCAGGAGGCTGAGGCAGAAGGATTGCTTGAGCCCAGGAGTTTGAGGTTGCTGTGAGCTAGGCTGATGCCATGGCACTATAGCCCGGGTAATAGAGTAAGACTCTGTCTCAAAAAAAAAACTTAAAAAAAAAAAAGGCAGACAAGTATACCAATATCCTTCAGGTTAAAAGCCATGATGTATTTATAATCTAATGGCTCTAATACCCACCACAACCCTACTACCTAAACCGAGGGAGAGGTTAACAGGGTGTGGGAAGGGGGAAGAAACTGCTTCTGAAGACCTTCTCTATATGCTAAGGTAATAAGGTATGCACACTTGCTCCTGTAGAGCCTGTAGTAACTCCACAAATGCATTTTTCAACAAATAGGTGGTCATGGTAGTGCTAGATGGGGAAAAGGCACAAGGTACACTGAAGCTGCTAAAGCAGCCCATTAAACATAAGGTGATCTTAAGGAAGAAAGAGTTAGATGTCTTACCTAATATAGCAGATTTTTCTGCTTCAAGCATATCCAGAGCTTTCGTGAAAGGCTCTGCCATTTTGGCTAGCATTTCTGTTGAGTATAAAGTATTGTGGGTTCTGAAAGAGACAAGGATGATAAGTGAACTTCTCCTAGTCTGTTGCAGGAGCAAAGAGTGGGTTTCAGCTTGTAATTCAGTGATACTACATTTCCACACAGATCTGCCCATCAACACTATTCCTAACAGGGGAAAGAAAAGAAGGCATAAATATCTGAAATCTTCCCTGGAGAGGGGAACAGACTTGAAGCTATCAAGTATAGATATATAATATATAACACCTAAGATGAATCAACACAAGAAATAAATCCTGCAATAGCAGGACACAATCAGGGCCTGCAGCTAGACAGAAAAATTCTTTAGACTTGAGATAATGCCTTGGCATTTACAGTTTCCCGACTACCAGTGATACAGGATGAAATGTTAGTGACAGCGTGGACTCACAGGTAGGAACACAGAGCAGGTGGTGACATGCCTCATTTTTAAACATTTTGTCTCCATTCCAAGGGCATGGACTTTGCAACAGCTGTTTTAGCCTTCTGAAGGGACATAATTCTCAATCAACATGCCTGCCTGCTTCCCACTAAAATGACTTTACAGGCTTTGTCTGGCTAAGGGCAAGGGGCAGTGGACCTGATCTACCTGCTGTCCACAGCACTCACTCCTGCTCACAGCAATGGCTCCACTGCACAATTGATAGCCAGAGTGAGTGCGGAACTACCTATGTTTCTTTTTAAAACAGACACTAGCTAACAGATACCAACTAGCAAGGTTAAATATTTAAGATTGCAGACTGAATAGATCTTTTATGTTTAAATCTCCATGGATTGTTCTTTTATGTCTTGTTTAAGAAGTCATTCACTAGCCTAATGATGTAAATATGGTCTAGAAGTTATACTTTTGGGGTTTTTATTTTTATGGGTGGTGACAGGTAGGATTCTAAATGTTTTTCCCCACAGAAAGCCAACTGTCCTTGCACCATGCACTGAATAGCTTATCTTTTCCTCACTGAATTGTATTACTTCTGTCATAAATCAATCTATCACACATACCTGGGAGTCTTTCTAGGCACTTTTACTATTGTGCTGAACCATCATCACTTATGAAGGATATGAGCTAAAAAACTGAACTGTTATTGGATCAATTTTCTCAACCAGGGGTTGTACAGTAAATATTTTAAGCTTGACCAGCCATAATGTCTCTGCCCATGACTAATCAAATCTGCCACTGAAGGTCAATAACAGCCACAGACAATAAGTAAATGAACAGGCATGGTGTGTTCCAAGAAAAATTTACATACAAAATGTGGAGGCCTGGGGATTTGGTCGTTCGGCTGCAGATTGCCAACCCCTCCTCCAGACCTAATTATTTACTTATGAGACATATAAAGGGAAGTAGATGTCAAACAATACTATAGAGATACAAAAAGCAAAATTTAATAACGGGAAAGTCTGTAAGTACAAACTCAGGTTTTTCAACAAATAAAGTAAAAAGAGGGCAGGAAATTTGTAAGTTTAGAGACTTAAGAGACACCTAAATCAAATACTATTTTTGAGTAGTAAATATTTTGTAAATAAAAGTAAACAAAAGTAAAATATTTTGAGGATATTTGTATTTTGTACAAATTTGTACAATTGTACACTGATTGTATATTAGAAGATATTAAGGAATTACTGCTAATATTTTAAGATATAACAATGGAAATGTAATTATGTTAAAAGACTAGATCCATATTCCTAGCTTTTTATTTGGAATTTTTTGCATCTGTGTTTTAAGTGATTTAGGCCTGGAATTTTCCTCTTTGGTACTGTCAACGTCTGGTGTTGGTATCAAAATAAATAAGCATCATAAAATGATTTTACATTGCATTTTTCTATTTTCTGGAGCACTTTGTCTAAGAGAGAAATTATGTGATCCTCAAAGATTACAGGCATGAGCCACTGCGCTCGCTTCTTTTTATTCTTTAATTAAACGTGATTGTGACCCTGAGAAATCATCTGAAAAACAAAATGGTTAATACATCAATGTCAAATGTCCCTGCCACTAAAACAGAATCTGGTATTCCTTTTAGTCTCCTTCTTCCTCCAGGTGGCTGCTCCTTTGCTCACAAGTAGTGGCAGGAGGCCTTAAAAGTGAATACTGCCCCAATATCTGATTCCAGGTAAGGTTCATAAGTTGGGACATCTACAGTCCCTAGTAGTATTCAGGCTGCTTAAACATCACCTTGCCTTACACACTTGTGAGTTAGAGCTCTGTGCTTCCAAATTAAGAGGAACTAAGTGTTGCTTGGCAAAGGGAAGGAAAGGCAAATTGGGTAATTAAATGTTTAAGTTTGATTTACATTTATTTGAAATATATAGTATCACCATCTAAGAATATAATCACTAGACTACTAAGACTTTACATAAAGATTTCAATTAAACATATAAAAGATGTAAAGAAACAATATAACAAACTTCAACATAATAGAAAAGCTGTTATTTTAAACAGATAATGACAGTGAACGTTTCGAGAGCCAGAGAGTTCTGCTCTCCACGTCTGTCCTCCATCCAACCCACTAGCAACAATGCTATTCAGCAGAGACACAAGTTGAGGATCATAAACCCCAAAATCCAAGAGTCCAAAATCCAAAATGCTCTAAAATCGCAAACTTTTTGAGCACTGACATGATGTTCAAAGGAAATGCTCATTGGAGCATTTTGGATTTTGAATTTTGGATTAGGGATGCTCAAATAATAATTATTATGATGATGCAAATATTCCAAAATCCAAAACACTTCTGGTTCTAAGTATTTCAGAAAAGAGATGCTCAACCTGTATAATGTAAGCCATGTGAGTCATTAAAAAATTTCTAGTAATGACGACCAGTCTCAGCGAACTGAGACCCCATCTACACAAAAAGATACAAAAATTAGCTGGGCATGGTATGGTGGCTTGTGCCTGTAGTCCCAGCTACTTGGAAGGCTGAGGCAGGAGGATCACTTGAGCCCAGGAGTGTGAGGTTGCAGAGAGCTATGATGATGGCACTGCACTGTAGCCCAGGTGATAGAGACCCTGTCTCCTAAATAAATAAATTCCGGTAACAAGATTTAAAAAGTAAATCACGGCCGGGCATGGTGGCTCACGCCTGTAATCCTAGCACTCTGGGAGGTTGAGGTGGGAGAATTGTTTGAGCTCAGGAGTTTGAGACCAGCCTGAGCAAGAGTGAGACCCTGTCTCTACTAAAAAAAAATAGAAAGAAATTAGCTGGACAACTAAAAGTATATATGTGAAAAATTAACCGGCATGGTGGTGTATGCCTATAGATCCAGCTACTTGGGAGGCTGAGGCAGGAAGATTGCTTGAGCCCAGGAGCTTAAGGTTGCTGTGAGCTAGGCTGATGCCGTGGCACTCTAGCCTGGGCAACAGAGTAAGACTCTGTCTCAAAAAAAAAAAAAAAAAAAAAAAAAGTAAATCAGGAGGCTGAGGTGGTAGGATAGCTTGAATTAGGAGTTTGAGACTATCCTGGGCAACACAGTAAGAACCCACTTCTAAACAAATGAAAATCCAGGTTAAATAAAACATTATATTTTATTTAACCAATGTATCAAAATATCATTTCAAATGTCAACATAAAAATTATTAATGAGACATTTTACATTCTTTTGTACTAGGTTTTAATCTGGTATGTATTTGCCTTCTCAGTTCAAACTAGCCACCTTTCAAGTGCTTAATACCACATTGGGCTAGTGCGTTCCATACTGGATGGCACAGCTTTAACATCTTTACCATCAGCTATTTACAGGAGTATATCAATACCATGCCACATCTTTAAAAAAAGTAAACTTTTCTCTATTAAAAATAGTAATTTAAAACTCATAGCTCCAGGCGGGCATGGTGGCTCCGCGTGTAATCCTAGCACTCTGGGGAGCCGAGGCGGGCGGATTGCTTGCAGTCAGGAGTTTGAAACCAGCCTGAGCAAGAGCGAGACCCTGTCTCACTATAAATAGAAAGAAAGTAATTGGCCAACTAAAAATATATATAGAAAAAAATTAGCCAGGCATGGTGGCACATGCCTGTAGTCCCAGCTAACTTGGGGGCAGAGGCAGAAGGATTGCTTGAAGCCCAGGAGTTTGAGGTTGCTGTTAACTAGGCTGATGCCACGCACTCTAGCCCAGGCAACACAGTGAGACTGTCTCAAAACAAAAACAAAACTCACAGCTCCAGTACATAACCAGTGGAATATAGATTAATACAACCACTTTAGAAAACTGGCTTATCTATGAAAACTGAAATATTTACCTTATAAAAGGAATTCTACTCCTATGGTATACCCAACAAATTAGGTACATATATTCACCAAAAGACATAACAAGAATGTTAACAGCAGCACTATTTGTAACATTAAACATTACATTACCCAAAAGTCCATCAAGACTGAATAGTAAGGTTACAACATATCCACACAATGGAATTTCATACAAGCAATGAGATTGAACAAACTACAACTATAAAATAACATGGATGAACCTCACAAATTAATTTAAGCAAAATACCAAAAAGTGCACACTTTTAATTTCATTTATATAAAGCTCAAAAAACCAGCCAAATGTTAAAAGTCAGAATAGTGTTACCTTGACAGGCAGGCAATGACTGAAAAGAGGTACTGGATAGGTTGTTTCTTGATCAGGTTGATGATTATACAGAGCCGTCCACTTTGTGAAAATTGATCTACACACACTCATAATTTGTGCCCTTTTCTGTACAGTACATTGTACTTCAAGATAAAATTTACTGAAAAACAAAACCCTAATATCTCCAACTGCACACTATTCAAGCAATCTAACTGCTCAATCACTACGGTCAGCATTTTTCAAAATACCTAATGATTGGTTTTAGAATATTCTAAAAGTACTGAACTCTTATATAGAACATCAAGATGACAACTGTAACTGTTGTCTTTTTTTTTTTTTTTTTTTTGAGACAGAGTCTCGCTTGTTGCCAGCCCAGGCTAGAGTGAGTGCCGTGGCGTCAGCCTAGCTCACAGCAACCTCAAACTCCTGGGCTCAAGCAATCCTGCTGCCTCAGCCTCATGAGTAGCTGGGACTACAGGCATGCGCCACCATGCCCGGCTAATTTTTTCTATATATTAGTTGTCCAATTAATTTCTTTCTATTTTTAGTAGAGACGGGGTCTCGATCTTGCTCAGGTTGGTTTCAAACTCCTGACCTCGAGCAATCCACCCGCCTCGGCCTACCAGAGTGCTAGGATTACAGGCGTGAGCCACTGCACCCGGCCTGTAACTGTTGTCTTATTGCCCTTTTACCTTAACCAGGAATGAACCTCATTTCCAGGTCTGGGTTCTTGCCACATGAATTCTGGCCACAGGCCTAAAAAGGCCTAGTTGATGTATCTTGCCCTAAGACTTCCATCATTGTCACATTTCCCTAGTTGTAGAAGAATATTTAGATTTTAAAAATGTCAGTATGGAAATAAGCCTTTCCTTGACTAAATATTTCACTGCCCTCTCAACACATCACCATACTGTCTTTTTTTTGAGATGAGGTTTTATTCTGTCTCCCAGGCTGGTATGCAGTAGGATGATCATAGCTCACCGTAGCCTCGAACTCCTGGATACAAGCAATCCTCCTGCCTCAGCCTCCCACGTAGTTGGACTACAGGCATATTAACACCATGCACAGCAATATTTTTAGAGATGAGGTCTTGAACTCCTGGTCTCAAGCGATCCTCCTGCCTCAGCCCCCAGAGTCACCAAGATTATAGTCCTAAGCCACTGCACCTAGCTCCACATCTTTTTTTTGAGACAGAGTCTCACTTTGTTGTCCAGGCTAGAGTGAGTGCCATGGCGCCAGCCTAGCTCACAGCAACCTCAAACTCCTGGGCTCAAGCAATCCTTCTGCTTCAGCCTCCGGAGTAGCTGGGACTACAGGCATGCGCCACCATGCCTAGCTAATTTTTTTCTATATATATTTAAGTTAGCCAATTAATTTATTTCTATTTATGGTAGAGATGGCGTCTCGCTCTTGCTCAGGCTGGTTTCAAACTCGTGACCTCTGAGCAATCCACCTGCCTTGGCCTCCCAGAGTGCTAGGATTATAGGGATGAGCCACCAAGCCCGGCCTTCATACATCTTTATTGAGATCTCTTTCTTCCCTTTGAAATCAGAATAAAGCATTGCCTATTTCCACAGACATGTCCACAATGACAACACTATCAGACACTTGAGCCCTGCATTTTGGTTAACATTAACTTAAAACTTTTGATTCTTAGGCTTCTGGTCCTGGGTATCTATTACCAGGGAGAGTTTCTCTGAGTCATGAGTAATTTGGCTTGCCTAGCTGAAATTCTGCTCTTACTCCCTGAGAAAGAGGCCAAAAAGCACCGGAACAGAGCTCTAACCTGTATGTAACTTAGAAATACTGTTCCCAAATACCCTCAAATTCTGCTTTGGTCAATAAGAACTGAATTCTATTAAAAACCTATCTTCTTTAAAGAACATCCCTAAATCATCAAACAAACTTCTAGTAACCAACAAGCCTACACTGACTGGTTGACTTCTACTTGACTATATTAGCTCATGTAATCCAAAATACTGATATTGAACCTTTAATATGCACATAAACCATCTGAGGATCTTGTTAAAATGCAGATTCTGATTTAATATGTCTGGGGACTGGCCCTGATTCTGCCTTTCAAACAAGTTGTCAGGTGACTGTTGATGCTGCTGATCTTAGGACTCAGCTTAGAGAACCAAGGACTTAGCAAACTGAGACACAAAATGTACCATTCTTTCTTTTGGCATGTTCAGCCAGTAGATAATGTTTGGTCTATTTGAGTTCAGAATCATTATTTGTAAATTCAATTTAACTTATATGAGTTAACCAGAATTTAACAGAGAAGCACCACTACAGAAAGTAACTGTACTGCTCCCAATGAATAATTCCTTTACTCACAAAAATTTAGACCAAATAAAACTTAAAAAAGTAAAAAGTGGGAGAACAACGTGGAGGAGGCTCAAAATGAGAAAAGCTATTTTGGGATTAGCCCCATGGGTTCCCATGGAATGTAAGACTTATGCAAGAGGGAGCTGATGTTAATTTTAAAGAGACCCTTCTCGCCCCCCGCCCCAAAGAAACAAGACTTAATCCTTCATTATCACCATGATGATGTGAAGACTATAGATTCAACTTTTGAAATTATTAAGGTAAAAAATAAAAAAATAACAGAGAAAAACCATTATTCTGACTCACCTTATTAGGGCAAGCAAATTGTCAAGAAGTTTGAGAATCTGCTCTGTGCAGGGGTTACGGAAGATTGGATTTCCACTTGGTGTATAACCCACCACAAATCCCCCAGCTTTGGCCTCTTCTAGGTCAGTGGGCCAACAAGTTCGTTTCACAACACCCAGAATGCTATATACACAAAAACTCATCTACAGAAAAACAAGAATGAAAGGTAAACACTAAAGTGGAAGTAAAGAAAAAAGTACTGTTAGACACATTTAAGTCTATGGCAAAAGTGATATAGAGACCAGAAAGATTGAAAGAACCCTCTGCTCCTCCCCATCCCCCTGGGATCCCTGTCCCTTCCTTTAAGGTCAAATCCAAGAGGGGTCCTCACACTGCCATTTTCAGGACCAGTGGTAGGCTCTACAAGCTTTCCTTTCATAAGGATGTCTTTCCAGGGCCTGCAGTGACCCTCCCACAGGACCCTGATTAGAAGGTGGCTTAGATATGCTCCAAAACAAAGTGTTTAAATTGCCACCATTTCATCTTTTTTTGAGTTGACCCTGCACCCTCCAGCTTGGGCCTTGACAGCTAGTGCCCTGGTCCCCCCTTCATGGTAATCTCAACCAATCTACTACTTGCTATGTTAATTAATGTGACTTCTGCTATAGTGGAGCCAGGACGATGTTCATTTGAACAGCAAAACACTGAGAAACCTCAGGTTTGCAAGTCACATCATCACTTAGGACTTTACATGCCAGAGAGCAATGGCAGGGAGGACTCACCCTGCTGACCAAGTTCTGACCTACTTCCTCATTACACCTTCAGTCTTCAGAGCTATTTAGAGATCCTTAAAGCCAAAATAATGACTTCATAGAAAAGACCATCTGCTCTGCTGTGGGAACTAACTCAAGAATTCAAGACTAAAGAAGAAAAGAAAGGAGAAGCTTAGGGAAGTGGAGACTCCCAGGTTTCTCACCAGTATAGAAAAAACAAATTTACGAGAAACTTGACAAAAGATATCACCCTACTCCTACCCAAGGCCAATGCAACTTCCCATTCCCAGGAGAGTCTTACTCGTGCACGGTTTAAGCCACAGGGATCCTCCAGGCCTGGGTCACAGCTCTTCTGATCTGCACCCACATAGGCAATAAAAGCATCAACATCTGACAGCACTCTGAAGGTTGGAGGGGAAAGACAAGCTATATCCATGATTTTAAGCAAGGATAATTTCTTTCACAGGAGCTAATAGTCTATGATTATTTGGTCCTGAAGAGCAGTTTTTATGGTGAGAGGAGTTTAATCATATTGTCAGCTCCCATTTGAAGGTTTAAACTTCCCTTTTCACTCCCAAATGTTATTAGCAGCACTTAAAGAATTAAAAAAGGATACAAGTTTGAAAATACAAAGAAAACAATTTCTCTACTATGTGGGCACAGGTGAGTGTCTCTGTGTGGCTTTTACTTCGTATGGCCCTTCCTAGCTGTTCTCATTTCTCCAAATGTGCTGGTGCTACAACTCAGATATCATAGGAGCCTCACTCCATTCCCTCACAAGCCAGACTACCCATTTTCCTTCATTTCCTCTCCCCTCTACACCTCTGAACAGCAAAGTGATATTTTCAGAGAATAGATTACAAAAGACTGCTCTTAGGGAACTTCAGATATCACTAATAGTGCCATCACACCTCCATGTCCTCAACCCCTGTCCCCACCCTGGGCATAGCTCTTGAAACAGAATGGGTGCTCCAGTGCAATGAGAGTCAGGGTCAAAGGATCTCCTCTACCTGCATATGTCTTCAGAAAGCCAGATGGTGGCCACTGGTGCCATCAGCTCCTCTAGGAACACCTTCTGACGCTCATAGTTCTTGAATTGGTTGCTAATGAGAACCAGGGCTTCCATGAGGGCACACTTTTCCATTTGTGTCAGAAGTAGCTCATTGGAGAGGAGTTGCTTCACATGGTTATAAAGCATGTCAAAATTAGGCTGCAGATCACAAAGGATAAAAGTGAGAGGTGGCGAAGGTCTGATTTTCTTCCTTTCACTCAAGGAAGAAAGAAAGAGAACCAAAGAAGATCTAGAAAGGGCAGGCCTATGAGGCTATCACATAGTAATTTTATTATAATGTTCTTCTTTTGCCTGAAGCAAGGCAATTTAGGCAAAAGGTACTTTTTTTTTGGTAAGTAGTCAGTACTGGAAGAAGGTAGTTCTTGTTTTGAGTATATGAATAACCACACCTTCCCATACTACAATTGTGAAAATAATTTCTTTTTTCTACATCAACTTTATCGTATCTTCACAGACAAAGATCAGTTTGTTATATATACAGTAAACACCGCTGTGTATTTAGGGAAGAAATTTCTGGGTAATCTGTAATGTGGAGAAACATTAAATTTCTTATAGAAACCCCCCCAAAAGGGTTGGGTTATGCAACTGGCTTCTCTCAAGATTAGGTACGTCATATTAAAGTAGTAATTAAGAATACAATATAATACAGCAAAAGAGTTGTAGATTGACAGGGATAATCTTAGTCATCCATACAGAAGAGAATTATTCATATTTTAAGGGAAGAATATATTTGCATTTCTAACTATAATTCTAAGTAGTGAGAGGAAGAACACATCAACTTAAGAATGTTTATTCTATACAAAGTTACAGTTCCTAGTTTTTCCTTTATGTGACGTAGAATGATAGCTGGATTTACAAAGAAATGTAACCACACTCAACAGGCCTCAGTGGCTACTCAGCCAGGGTGTAGTGGCTTACCAGCACGAGCTGGGGGTAGTCACGGCACATCTTGATGATAGAGGAACAAGCATGCCTCCTCACATTCCTTACTGCCCGGGTTCTGGGGGCCTAAAAAGCATGCAACAAACCCAGAGCCACTTTTAATATAATTTACAGATGCTGCATAGAACCCCATAAATATCTCAGTCAGAGGCAAATTCACAATGAACTTCTACAACTGTAGGAGTGTAACGGAGCGACATTTATAGTCATCAAGAATCCATATGTTTATTGTTTGTCCTAGTGCCTCTAGGGCAGAACACCATGTCATATAACAAACTACAGTCTTTACTAACCCCTCCCACTTATACAAAAATCTAGACTAAGAATTATGTATTCATACTTTTGCTCTAAAGAAGTTAGAATACATTGGTTTAATTAATGGTCTTACCTTACTTTCTTCAACAGTTTCAAAAGTGACAGATGAAAATAGCTAAGGGAAGGGAGGGAAAAAAGGTCACTCTTGTGTTTGTTTATATTAGAGACAAAGTCTTGCTATGTTGCCCAGGCTGGACTTTAACTCCTGGGCTTAAGAGATCCTCCTGTCTCAGTCTTCCATGTAGATGAGATTACAGGTTTGTGCCACTGTGACTGGCTTACTCATGTTTTTAAACAATAGTTATCAGAAAATTTCCAACAAAATCCCAGAGTTGTATTCTTAGTAATAATACAGTAACAAAACAGCTTTCAGTTGGTGTTGCAAAGCTTTAGATAATCATTTTCTCAGATACCTCTAGAAGAAGCTTGAGATTTACAATTTTATTATCAAAACACTTTATTACTAAGTAAAAGATCATAGAGTCCCAGAACCATCCATGCCACCACCCAAATGCTTAGCTACGCTAACACCTATCTTCTCTACTTTTTATCAAAAGCTGAGTATCCATCCTCCTTGATTCCATTTCATAACTTCCCATTTATTCCTTAACCCAATGCAATCTGGCTGCTTCCTTGGCCACTAAGATGGAATTATACTCAGATGAGGGCCTACTCAAGAAACACACAAGACATTCTCCAACTCTCAGAGAATTTCTGTTGCAACAAATGAGTTCACTTTTCTGAAGTTGTACTGGCCTTGTGATACAACGTGTTCTTTATTTCTCTGGCTCTTTTTCCTTCGTTGGGGGCTTCTCATCCTTTGCTCTCCTCCTCCAATGATGGTGATCCACAGGGCTCCTTGCTTGACCCGTGTGTCTCCTAACTCTACATACATATTTTTCCCCTTAGAACTTCACTTCTAGTCTTGGGATTTCTGTGATGATGATGCTTTAATTTTATCTCATTACTTTCTAGAGTCTAGATCTTCAACCTCAAATGGCCAATTTATTGTGAGATGTCTACATCTAGATGCTTTAAATACATTTCAAACATAGTATTTCAAAATATTTCACATCTTTCTCTTCCTTACTCCTGCTCTCACTCCTAATCCAGTATTCTCACTCAGGTGGTGGCTCTATTACTCACATGGTCACCTCAACTGCAAACCTGAAAACTATCCGTACTGTCCTTCCTCTCACAGATCCAATCCCAAAATGACAGCACACTCTGACTCTCTCCTTTAGGTATTCTTTTCCATTTCCCAGTGTGCAAGTCTATTCATTGCAATGTCATATAGGTACAATATCTGTTTATGTACCTTTAAAAAATTTTTTTAATTTTAAAATTTTTAATTATGGGTTCATAATAGTTGTATATCTCTATCATGTACATATGATATTTTCATACAGGCATACAATGTGAATTAATCAACTCAGGGTAACTGGAGTATCCAACACCTCCAGCATTTAACTTTTCTTTGTGTTAGGAACATCCTGGGTTCTGGGGATCTGAAAAGTATGCAACAAACTCAGAGGTGCTTTTTTTTTTTTTTTTGAGACAGAGTCTCGCTTTCTTGCCTAGGCTAGAGTGAGTGCCGTGGCGTCAGCCTAGCTCACAGCAACCTCAAACTCCTGGGCTCAAGCGATCCTCCTGCCTCAGCCTCCCGAGTAGCTGGGACTACAGGCACAAGCCACCATGCCCGGCTGATTTTTATATATATATATATTAGTTGGCCAATTAATTTCTTTCTATTTTTATGGTAGACACGGGGTCTCGCTCAGGCTGGTTTTGAACTCCTGACCTTGCAGAGGTGCTTTTAATATAATTTACAGATGCTGCATAGAATTATGTAAATATCTCAGTCAGAGGCAAATTCACAATGAACTTACACAACTGTAAGAGTGTAACGGAGCGACATTTATAGTCGCTAAGAATAACTCTTAAAGTATATCCTAACTTGTTGATTATAGTCACTTTGTTGTGCTACCAAATATTGTTCATTCTACCTAACTGTATTTTTGTACCCATCAACCATGCCCACTCCTTTATATGCCTTTCTTCCCAGAGTGTTCCTAAAGTGTGAAATACTAACATGGTGCAGGATCTATAATCAGTACTGAGTAAATATTTAATAAATGTCTGTTTATTAGTTTGCCTCACATAATTTGAAAAACAGTTACAAAAAATAATTAGTTTAGGCCAGGCACGGTGGCACATCCTGTAGTCCCAGCTATGTGGGAGGCTGAGGGAGGAGGATTGTTTGATCCAGGAGTCTAATTCCACCCTAAACATAGTGAGAGCCCTGTCCCCACCTCTTCAACAAAATTAGCTTTGAAGTGTCAAAATAAAATTTAAATAGATGGACTTTACCTTTGAGAAGACCTGGGGCAGGAATTCTGGTGTGTAGGTAACAAATGGAAAGAGTGCTGAGACGTTAGTGAGGACACAAGACAGAATGAGGGGATCCTTGGTGTCAAAGTTTAGGACCATCTGCAACAACTCTATTCCATCATTAACAGGAATTTTCTGTAATACAGACATAAAGAAAACATTGACATGGCTGCCCCTACTCAGACATAACCACTTTTGCTAAATTTTCTTTAGACTGTAATTCGTAAATACATAATATGGTTGCCACACATGACTTTATATATTGCTTTTTAACCCCAAAATTTCTAAGTATTACCCTATGGTATTAAAACTTTTCATAGGCCGGGCGCGGTAGCTCACGCCTGTAATCCTAGCACTCTGGAAGGCCAAGGCGGGCAGATTGCTCAAGGTCAGGAGTTCGAAACCAGCCTGAGCAAGAGCGAGACCCCATCTCTACTATAAATAGAAAGAAATTAATTGGACAACTAATATATATAGAAAAAAAAATTAGCTGGGCATGGTGGCGCATGCCTGTAGTCCCAGCTACTTGGGAGGCTGAGGCAGTAGGATTGCCTGAGCCCAGGAGTTTGAGGTTGCTGTGAGCTAGGCTGACGCCATGGCACTCACTCTAGCCTGGGCAACAAAGTGAGACTCTGTCTAAAAAAAAAAACTTTTCATAAACGATGAAAGAGTGGGCCTTGTTAGGAATGTAGCATTTCCTACCACTAGAAATTGAGAATGTTTCTAGTTCTTCACTATTATAAATACATCTTTGCAAAAAAAAAATTTTGTCTACATATTCAATTATTTCATTTGAATAAGAGACTTCTGTGGATGGCTAGAATTATTGGGTCAAAAAGTATAAACATTTTTCTTGCAAGAATAGGGTCTCTGTTAAAAAAAAAATGTATGAACATTTTTCTAAGTCAAGTTAACTTGTTTTCCTTCTTTATAGGTTCTACCAATTGGTTCTGTACCCAATGTGTCCTTCTTACCATGCTCTCGGCAGCAATATTATTTCCCAAAACCTTTGCTTATTTATTAAGCACAAAAAAAGTTTACTTAAAATTGTATTTCTTTCCTATTTATTAGCTACTTTAGTTTCTTCTCTCTATATATATTATCTAATTTTATCTTTTGTCTATTTCTCTACTGGGTTCTAGTGTTTTTATTATCAATTTATTTAAACTTTTTATCATAAAATATTCCAGACATATAAAAAGGTATAAATAACAATTTAGTAAACCCTGCATGGTCACTTTAGGAGTTACTGATAGAGTTGATGTTCTCTGTGCATAACACTCCTTTTCAGCCACTGGAATGTCTGTGTCTAATGCCAGTACTATACTGCTCTTTTAAAATACTGTAGGTTTTATATTTTACTATCTGGAGAGGTAAATCAATCCTCATCTTCTTCAAAATATGCTTTTTTTTTTCCTACAAAAACTATTCCCTACATCAATCCATTGCTAAAGTTGCTAAAGCAAGGCTCTATCCAATATTCTCTGATACATAGCACTGGAAATACAAGCCCACCTAACGCCACTAGGAATTAGTAAGCAGCTTTTCAACCCTATTAGCCAAAGAACCTCTTTCATGGAAGTGTAAACAAACATGATAAAAGCTAAACTGGTTTGTCACTGGGATGGGAAACTGAGGACAAGGAATGCATAGTTTGCAAATCAATGGAATAGGCAATGCTCTGCAAAGTCAGAAAATGATAATTACAAATGGGAATGTAATAGGCTGAGATCCACTATGTGAACACCCCTGGGGACATAAAACTTGCTTCAGTAACAAATATGCAACTTCATCATATATAATATTCACCAAACACACTCATCTCTCTTGATCAGAAATGCTTCATTCTGATCCACTTCATTTTGGTGAAGAAAAAAAGAATAGATTTTAGAGTTAAGAGATTCACTTTAAGTCATTAACAAGGCCAAATACTACCACCCAGAATTTTCCTAAGGAAAAAAAATTTAGTTCTATTTGTTTTTCTCTCTGCCACCCGACTCCTACCAAATTTCTAAAACGATCTGTCACCTTGTGCTTTATTTCAAGCCTACATGTTTCTCCTATATACAGTCTAACTTTTTTCAGGGGGTACATTTTGACCAATTAGTATCTGATTATTTTGACCAAATACCATTTCCTATTCAAAGACATTGTAAAATCCAGTCTACAACCAACTAGGCACCTTCCTCCCACAAATACTGCAAGTCCTTTTGTAAATCTTAAAGACAAAACTTGACAAACTCTGATCATTTCTTTCTATTGCCTTCAAGCAGGATCATATTCACATGTTTGGATCCATTCAAACTGTCTAATTAAATGCCAGAAAAGGAAACAGCAGGAGTGTTTCCCTTGATCTGAGAAGGGACTTTCTTGATTTGACACACTTATACTATTAGATAAGAGCTATCGAAACCTGTAAAAGGGCTAACTTAGTAAAAAATGCAGAATCCAAGTAGGGCTTCGCACCTAGAGTTGGGGAAAAACTCAAAATGCTATCATTTTTTTTCTTTTGTTGTTATAGCACAACTTAAAATTAGTATCATTTATAGTATCTTAAGATAACCTGTCCTTGAATGGATGCTTCCTGTTCATTACCTTGCGGTCTACAACAAATATCTAGAAAATGTACTATTTTAGAAAGTGAAGACTGCTTAAATCAAAGGGGGAAAAGGAGAAGGGCTTGTGGTTTTTTCTTTTTCATTAGCTGCTATAACACTGTTTTTCAGGAAGCTGAGGGAGTTTCGGTTTTTTTTTTCTTTATTGGGGGGAGACAATCTTGCTCTGTCACCTGGGCTAGAGTGCCGTGGCATATTTATAACTCACTGCAACCTCAAACTACTGGGCTCAAGTGATCCTCCTGCCTCAGCCTCCTGAGTAGCTGGGACTACAGGTGCAAACCACCACACCCAGCTAATTTTTCTGGTTTTTGTAGAGATGAGGGTCTCACTCTTACTCAGGCTGGTCTCAAATTCCTGAGCTCAAGCAATCCTCCCACCTTAGTCTCCCAGAGTGCTAGGTTTACAGGCATGAGCCACCTGACCCAGCAAGTTTTATATTTTCTTTAGACATTATTAGGCACGGAAGCCCTTGTAGGACAACTTTAATGTTGCAAGAATGCTACCATTTTGCTAGCACTGATATGGTATTTAGGTCAACATTCTATTTTAAGGCTATATATTTGGTTTTTATGAATTATCCAAGCCTGTGGTGGCTGCTATCTTGCATTGCTGTCACTTGAAGGCCAGCCCAGAATGCTATCATTTCAAACTGAAGTGAATCAGTAATTAATGACCCTAAGATCTAATTTGTTAATATGACACTCACAACTAGCACTCTGGGAGGCCTAGGTGATAGGACTGCTTGAGGTCAGGAGTTCAAAAGCGAGACCCAGTCTCTACTAAAAATAGAAAAAATTAGCCAAGCGTGGTGGTGTATGTCTGTAGTCCCAGCTACTCAGTAGGCTGAGGCAGGAGTATCGCTTGAGCCCAGGAGTTTGCTGTGAGCCAGGCTGAGTTTGAGTTTGCTGTGAGCCAGGCTGAGGGCATGGCATTCTAGCCTGAGCAACAGAGTGAGACTGTCTCAAAAAAAAAAAAAGCCTCTCATGAGAAGAAGCACTATATCTCACTTATCAAGGGACTTAGAAATTCTTTTCAAAACCAACCTAAAATACCTCAAGACATAATTATCTACAACATCCTGAGGGCCGCCGTTGAAAAAAAAAAAAGAAAAAAATGAATAAAAAATAAAAACAAAAGCTAAACAAAAAAAAGATATAACTATCATAAAATCAGCTGTGATCTAATTATTTTAATCTAATTAACATGGTTAATAGGGTAGGCGCTGCTATTTAAGTAATTACAGCTCTATGTAAGGTAATGTTCTAAGAGAAAGGTGACAGCTGATATGAAGTACAAAAAAATAAGACCTGTTTATTCAGCATTATTCAGGGGAGGGGACACTTAATAGCCAATAAGGGCCGGGCAGGGTGGCTCATGTCTATAATCCTAGCACTCTGGGAGGCCGAGGCGGGCAGATTGCTCAAGGTCAGGAGTTTGAAAACAGCCTGAGCAAGGGAGACGCCCATCTCTCTATATAAATAGAAAGAATTAATTGGACAACTAATACATATAAAAAAAAATTAGTTGGGCATGGTGGCGCATGCCTGTAGTCCCAGCTACTTGGGAGGCTGAGGCAGAAGGATTGCTTGAGCCCAGGAGCTTGAGGTTGCTGTGAGTTAGCCTGATGCCACAGCACTCACTCTAGCCTGGGCACCAGAGTGAGACTCAGTCTCAAAAAAAAAAAAAGGCCAATACGAATATTCTGGTCCATCTGCCATAAACTGAAAGGATGCTTAATAGTAAATATCTTTTAAGATTATCCAATTCAAAGTTGGATATCACTGTCCTCCTTGCAATAGTTATCCTACCTGTGGCTCTGTGTGTTATCAGGCTTATCTTGTCATATCCTATCCTTAAAAATAGATGCTAAATGTTGTAGGGCTTAGAATAGGAGACCTGAGTTTTGGTCCCAGCTCTGCCATTTACTAGCTACTTGAAAATGAGTATGTTATATAACTCCCTCTAAAGCTTGGTTTCCTCTTACATAAGATGTCTATCCAGATTTTCCTATCCCTCTACTAGTTAAAAGGAGATCAAAATCATTACATAGTCAGCATGGGAAATAGTTACTTACCTCTCTATCTACTGTCCGAAACATTTGGTTGATCACACTTTCCAAGAAAAAGGTCATGGCTTCCCACTGCACAAATGAAGGGGAGAAGATGGAGCACAGGCTTCCTTCTCCAGTTCCAGTGGCAGGAGAACATGCTTTTAAAATACACAAACGCTTATCAGCATTGAAGGATCACAGAAGACACAATGGGGCCTCACAGACTACCTGGTAATTTCACAGGTGAAGGAACAGGGTAATCTAACCCCTCTCAGCTTGAGGAAAGAAAAGAACATGAGCGCTGAAAGCTGAGATATAGACTGGGGTTACCTGGGCTACAGAGTACCATGGGCATCAGCCTAATTCACAGCAACTTCAAACTACAGGGCTCAAGCAATCCTCCTACTTTAGCCTCCTGAGTAGCTGGGACCACAGGCATGTGCCACACACAATGCCTGGCTAATTTTTCTCTATTTTTAGTAGAGATGAGATCACACTCTTGCTCAGGCTGGTCTCAAACTCCTGAGCTCAAGTGATCCTCCGGCTGGCCTCAGCCTTGCCCTCGGCTTCAGCCTCCTAGGAGTGCTAGGATTACAGATGTGAGCCAACACACCCAGCCCATAAATACTATTTAGAGTATTGAATAAGAATATCCATGTAAGGCCGGGCACGGTGGCTCACGCCTATAATCCTAGCACTCTGGGAGGCTGAGGTGGGCGGATTGCTTGAGGTCAGGAGTTCGAAACCAGCCTGAGCAAGAGCGAGACCCTGTCTCTACTATAAACAGAAAGAAATTAATTGGCCAACTAATATGTATAGAAAAAATTAGCCGGGCATGGTGGCGCATGCTTATAGTCCCAGCTACTTGGGAGGCTGAGACAGAAGGATTGCTTGAGCCCAGGAGTTTGAGGTTGTTGTGAGCTAGGCTGATGCCATGGCACTCACTCTAGCCTGGGCAATAAAGCGAGACTCTGTCTCAAAATAAATAAATAATAAAAAAAAGAATATCCATGTAAGCATCAAAAACAGTGGCCGGCCCATTAGAGACACTTGATAAATATTAGTTTCTTCCCTCCTTCCACTTTATAATCTGTCAATGAGAAACTAAATAAATAAGATATTTAAGACCATAAAGAATCTTTCCAATAAAGAAATATCAGATACAAAAGACTGCTTCATACCCAATACTCTCATGACAATCATAAGGGCTACATTTAGAGAACTCTGCCATCCTCCAACTTCACAAATATCACCAAAGAACATTACTCAAAGAGCAAGGCACAGACAAAAAGATTTATGAATTGCTTTTCTTGCTTACATATAGCACTCCTAACTTCATCTTGCTACCACATATTTGGGCCTCTTCAAACTTTCAACTTACCAGATAGAAGGGACATTCAGAATTGATTAGGAATACTCACAAATGAATGTTAAATCCCATGAATGTGGAAATCAACCATTAGTAGGAGCTTTTCTAAAGCGGTGACTTGCACTAGTTAATTCACCCTTTCTTGCTTTATTAATCCTGTCACACGCAGCATGACGGACAGATAGAAAATTAACTGGCTGATGCATTTCGATAGAAGGGTTTATTCTGAATTTATATAAAGTGGAAGGGCTTTGAGGTGGCTGAACGGCAATGGGAAGTCCCTGTAGTGTTCCTATTATGCCTTAATAGGACACACTGCTACACAATTAACTTGGTTGAAAAGTTTTTGGTTTTTTTTTTGAGACAGAGTCTAGTTTTGTTGCCCAGGCTAGAGTGAGTGCTATGGCGTCAGCCTAGCTCACAGCAACCTCAAACTCCTGGGCTCAAGCAATCCCTCTGCCTCAGCCTCCTGACTGAGTAGCTGGGACTACAGGCATCTGCCACCATGCCCGGCTAATTTTTTCTGTATATACTTTTAGTTGGCCAATTAATTTCTTTCTATTTTTAGTAGAGACAGGGTCTCACTCTTGCTCAGGCTGGTTTCGAACTCCTGATCTTGAGTTCAGTGATCCACCCACCTTGGCCTCCCAGAGTGTTAGGATCATAGGCATGAGCCATTCATTGCACCCGGCCGGTTGATAAAAGTTAGGTCTAAACATGCAATTTGTTAAGATGGTTCCTGAAGCAAAGTAATAAAATAAACAATTGGTTGATTTTGTTAGAAAAGAAAAATGGGGCGAGGTGGCTTATGATTATAATACTAGCACTTGGGGAGGCCAAGGTGGGAGGATTGATTGAGCTCAAGATTTTAAGGTTCCAATGAGCTATGAAAGCAAAACTGACAAGGACCTGGGTGTTACCCTATTTTAAACAGATTTAATATGTGGTGTTACCTGCTTTGTGAGCCAATGAAAATGCTCACTCCCTAGGAGGGAATTAGGAAGTGAGCAAGTCTATTTTTTAATAAGATTAATACATTGTTCTAATATGTGGCTCAGGTTTATTTCCTATGCATAGTTTTGATACTGTTACAATACTTCACTAATGTTTAATAATGAAAAAAACTTACAATTCATGGATCCAGCATCAGCAGAAGTTGATAACTGATACTTTAGCCATTCCCCAGCCATCTGGAAGCTAGTCTTGGGTTCCAAACGACATGCCAACCTCATCACCTCTCCTTGTTGGGCCCGGGAGGCTGCCAAGGGAAAAAACACCAAGGGAAGTACATGAATCAATAACTAGCATAAAACAGATTAATTAATGTTCATTCATTTACCATTCCAGGGGGAAAGTGTTCAATAATCTATTTTATAGACTTGTGCATTAAAAATAATAACTGATCAATAAAAATTTGTTGAATAATGAATCCAGAAATTTTCAAAAATAAATGATCTATGGAAGCTGTCTTACCAGCCAGGTCCGATAAGTGGCAAATTAAAATCAGTCTCCCATTTCTGTTTGAATTAAAAGGAAATCAGGTTGGTGGGAATGTAAAATGGTGCACAGCTGCAGTGGAAAATAATTTCGCAGTTCCTCAAAATATTAAACATGGGATCTGTCATATTACCTAGCAATTCTATTCCAAGTTAAATACCCAAAAGAAATGAAAACATATGTCCACACAAAAGCTTATATGCAGATACTCCCAGCAGCATTATTTGTAATAGCCAAAAAGTAGGAAGTAACTTAAATGTTCATCAACTGATGAATAAATAAAATATATCTACATGATGAAATATTACTGGCAATAAAAATAAATGAAGTACTAATATATGCTACAACATGGATGAATCATAAAAACATTATTCAAAGTGAAAGAAGGCAGTCACAACAGACCACGAATTGTATGACTGCATTTACATGAAATGTTCACAGTAGGCAAAACAGAGAGACAGAAAGTAGATTACCAGTTGCCCAGGGCTGAGAGGGATGAGAAGATTAAGGGAAAATATTCTAAAATTGATTGCTATGGGCCGGGCACGGTGGCTCATGCCTGTAATCCTAGCACTCTGGGAGGCAGGAGGATTGCTCAAGGTCAGGAGTTCGAAACCAGCCTAAGCAAGTGCAAGACCCCGTCTCTACTATAAATAGAAAGAAATTAATTGGCCAACAACAAAATTAAAAAAATATATATATATATAAAATCCGGGCATGGTGGCACATGCCTGTAGTCCCAGCCACTCGAGAGGCAGAGGCAGGAGGATTGCTTGAGCCCAGGAGTTTGAGGTTGCTGTGAGCTAGGCTGACGCCACAGTACTCTAGCCTGAGCAACAGAGTGAGACTCCGTCTCAACTCAAAATAAATAAATAAATAAATAAAATTGATTGCTATGATGATTGCTCAATTCTCTACTAATGCTAAAAACCACTGAATTGTATACTACAAATGGGTGAATTGTACATTAATGAATTTTATCTCAATAAAGCTGTTACTTAAAAAGAAAAAAAGCCGGGCATGGCTCTCCCCTGTAATCTGAGCACCTTGGGAGGCCAATATAGGAGGATTGCTTGAGGCCAGGAGTTTGCAACCACCCTGAGCAACACAGCAAGACCTCATCTCTTTAAAAAAAAAAAAAGTATCAGAAGAGCATGGTGATATGTGCCTGCAGTCCCAGCTACTCTGGAGGCTGAGAGGTAGGAGGATTGCTGGAGCCCAATTCAAGGCTGCAAGGAGCTTTGATCACCACTGCTCTTCAGCCTGGGCCATACAGAAAACACAGATAAATCTTTCGGGGAAGAAAGAACCACAAGGTAAGATGATATTTAATCCTGAGTATGAAAAAAATTCAAAAGTATCTTAAGTATGGTTACCATCCCTAAACATCAATGTCCAAATGCTGTGTGTTTGTGGTGTATAATAAATAGTATTATGCCTGGAATGTAGGCGTTGCACCCTTCTGCAATGGGAAACTAGAGCTTAAGCAGGCTGCCATCCAGATTTGAGGATCTTGATCTTTAATAAGAACCCCAAGCAACAGGCACCATGATTCATAACATTAGATGCCATCCTGAGACTGCTGGGAGAAATGTCAGGACAGTATCACTTACAATTGAAGAAAGCATTGAAGTCCTCGTCGCTGTCAAAATCAAATCGAGAATATTCACAGCTGGGACTATCTGTTTTAGAAGGAAAGCCCATCTGGAAAGAGAAAGGTAATCAGGGTAGGGAATGAAAACGGATCTAATAAAAGAGTACTTAGGCTTCAGAAGCTCAAGCACTTTTTAAGAATTAAGGGTTTTGAGTGAGATTTTTATGATAAATAACTACTTTGGTTCTATCAGAAGTTGACAGTTTGCTCCCAGCTCCAATATTCCTGAGAGTGGTAGAATACAAAAAAACACTTTTGGTTGATACCTTTCTCCAAATTCCTCAGGAGAATTAAATTCTGGAATTTGTTTAGGGTCTGTAAGTATGAAGGTATCCCAAGAGAAACTGATAAGTCAGCATGCAATAAGGAAGAAAGAATTGAGAACTACTTGCTTCATTAAATGCTGAACGTTGAGAATAAACGTGTACAGCTTTAAGTACTGAAGACCATGGCAAAGAATGTCATAGATAAATTCCCTGAGCAAATAAGGGGGCCCTTGAATGGATCCCATTCTCTGACTTTACATATCAAGATTAAGAATCTGTCAGCTGCAAGAGCTCTTAGCAAATCTCAAGAAATTTAGGAGCATCTCTCAAATGACGTAGTGAGCAATCTTGGCTTCTACTCTCCCTCCCTTCTCATTTGCCTTCCTGACTCTCACTTGGCCTTCAGAAACAATCCTCAGATATGACCTCCTCTTAGAATCTTCCTAATTCCACCCTCCTATGTACTTGCAAAGAATTTTGCTTTTAAACCCCTGGTAAAAGCACTGGTATGAGCACATGGTATGAGCACTGCTCTTGTCCAAACACCTAGCCCTACGCTTGATATATAAGAGCTCCAAGATTTGGAAAAGCAGTTATAATAACCAGTATGGACTGCTTTCTTCCTGAGAAATAAGAATAGGCCCAAGGAAGGGATCTTAGTTACTAAGAAACGGCTGTCAATAATGCCTCATTATTATGTATATTCACCTACATTCCACGTTTAGATTCCCATTATATACCTTGACCAAATTAGTCATAGAAGCACGAAGATATTTCGGTATCATTGGTAATAGCAAAGGATCACGAGATAGTATCTCATGACGGAAAAGGGCTCCCCAAGTCATCTGAGTTGAAGAGCGCAGAAACTAAAGGGAAAAAAAGAAAACCTCAGTTTAAGTATTTGAATATTATAGAACAAAGATTATTACTTAACCTAGCAGTTACCAACTACCTTTTTTCATAGAAATAAATCTCTACAATACTTTGAAATGGTCTCTACTACAGTCCAATAGTAATGACTGCTCACTATGAAGGCTGTGGGTCAGGTGTAATTCCTGAAGTGTGGGTTCAACTTTATCACTCTCCTATGCAAGAAAGGATAATGGAATTTCAGAGTGATATTAGAAGGAAAATCTTGAACTGGATGAAATTAATTTTGTAATAACACAATTAATCAGACTTCTGTTTTTATAACTTTCAGTTTTATAACTTTAGTACCAAATCACCGAGGACACACCTCACTTCTGACTTACCATAATCCGAATAATACCTAAGGGGAAAAGTTGCTGATCTAGACAGTGCAATACTTGGCTCAGGAAGAAGATCCAATAATTCTCTTAATGAAATGACACTGTAAGTGATTCCCTAGGGCCTGAAGAGTCAAATTTTACACATGAGCTGCAATATTACTTCAGGCCATAATGCTTAATTTTGGTTCACCTAACTAAAATGTTGAAAAGTTACCTGCATAAGGTTTACCTGACTTGGGTGAGTTGTGAAAGCAAGAAAAGATTCCAGGTATTTCCCAAAGTTCGCTGGTGTTTCTACATCAGAATCTGCACCCTGTAGGAGAAAAAGGCCACCACAGTAATAATGTTGATGGGGGATGAGGGGAGGAGCAGGGGAGTAGTACAAGCAGATAAATTAAACCCTCAAAAAAGTTTGTTCTGAAAGGACTTTGTACTTCTTTTGGCTAAAGAAAGGCATCATTTCCAGGGCTAATATATAGGAAAGCTACTTTACCCCCATCATCAAAACTCATCCTGTGGTCAAATAATAAAATGAAAAAGAACATTCATTTCAGAAACTAGAGAAAGAAAAAAAATTCATTCTACTTCTTCAGTACTGGCCTACTCGTATCTCTGTGACCCAAGCTATTAAATAACCACTGAATGGTATATGTCTTATATCTGAAATTATCCTCTCTAACCAATTAAACCACCACAAAAAACATAACAGCAATTGCAAATGTCTATCTTCTAACTTGTAAGACTGAGTATTAAATATTTCCCTAATATTTAATAAACCTAAAATAGGTTTTTCTAGGTCAATGAGTCTAAAGTTTTCTTTCATGATCCAATATATCCTTTAGCTTGGGAAAAGGGGTTCTTTATTCAAGTCCATGTTTCATGGGCTAAGAACTTAAAAGGGTAATGCACTCAGCAGACTGATGTTCTACAAGTACCAAAATTCAAAATACTAGTAATACTGACTTTATGAAATAATAGATGTAGACATTTGCTGTTGATATTAATAATTCTATTTTTGTTTAAAGAAATTTATATCCTTCAAATGTTATATTAAAATTCTTCAATCTGTGGAATCATATGAAATGATATGTAGGGTGATGCACCATCAGACTAAATACAATGGCATCTGCAACCCCTTATGAAGTGTAACTTTCTAAATGTTCTCCCCAAACAGCCCTGAGGCTCTACAGAAAATAAGCACTAGCTCACCAGCAATGCACACAGCTGATTGCCCAGTGCACACAACACCTGGCAGAGTCTCTTCAGGAAGACATAGTGTTTTTCTACCAAGCCTCCTCCATCAGCAATCCTGCAAGATGAGAGAATTCCTTATACCACTGACAAAATAAAAAGGACTGTAATAAAAACATGACTTTGTGTCTCATTTTTCCAAGTCACTTAGTTCAGGTTTATTATTCAAGAATCCAAATAGCTCTGCTAAATTAAAAAAAAAAATTATTTGGTGGCAAAACCTGACGTGAAATGATGGACTATTCACAGCAACAGCAATTAATAATGACTAGTATGAACAACAGCCATATGAGCTGCCTTCTGGAGGCAGTAGAGCATAATGTAAAAAGCAGGGGGCTTGGGGAAAATAAAGCCTAGGCTATCATGATGCAGAAGGGTGGTATGGTGTTACGGTTTCCAGTGCAGGCTCTGCAGCCTGCCTGCCTGGGTTTCAATCATAGCTTAACTAACCATAGGTATGGTATGGTACCCATAGCCCAAATGGAAATGGGACACCTCAGTGTGAATGTCATGGTCTCTATGGAACTAAGAAATGGACCTAGAAGCAGTAACTACAGTGGCTACCCAAAAGGCATGTTATTCATTTAATTAGCAGGACTCCTTAAAAACAGTGCTGCGGTCTGCATAGGAAAGAAAGCCATGATAAATGTGATAGCAAGCGATTTTAAGTAATACATAGGTGTCTCACACCTTTACATTTCTCCATGGGACCAAGAGTAAGTGAAGAGTATTGAAAAAAGCAACAGCTTTAACTATTTGTAATACACAGTTTTACCTGACACTTCCTGGTAAGAAACACATATCAGGAAATGCTTTAATATTTTCCAGAGCAACTGGAAGAAAATAAGCAGAAGCCATTCCAACCATGCATTGCTTAACAATAGTGATAAACTTTGAGAAATGCATCATTAGGTAGTTTTGTTGTCATTGTACACACATTATAGTGTACTTACACAAACCCTAGACGGTATAGCCTACTACACACCTAGGCTAGACTACAAATCTGTATAGCATGTTAGTGTACTGAATACTGCAGGCAATTGTAATACAATGGTTAAGTATTTGCGTGTGCTTCTAAACATAAAAAAGGTACAATCAATGGCTGGGTACAGTGGCTTATGCCTGTGATCCTAGTGCTTTGGGAGGCTGCAGCAAGAGGATCACTTGAACCCAGGAGTTTGAGGCTACAGTGAGCTGTGATCCCATCATTGCATTCCAGCCTGGGCAACAGAGCAAGACCCTGTCTCTAAAAAAAAAAAGGATGGAGGCTGGTCTGAATGCAGTGGTATTTACAACTAATTGATCATAACCAGTTACAGATTTCTTTGTTCCTTCTCCACTGCCACTGCTTAACTTGACTAGCCTAAAAATAAATAAAAAATTTAAGAAAGAAAGAAAAAAAACTTACAGTAAAAATATAGTATAAAAAATAAAAATTAGTATGCCTATATGGAGCATTTACCATGAATGGAGCTTGCAGGACTGGAAGTTGCTCTGAGTCACTGGGCGAGTAGTAAGTAAATGTGAAGGCCTAGGACATTACTATACACTAATGTAGGCTTTGTAAACACTGTCCACTTAGGCCACTCTAAATGTATTAAAAATTTTTTCTTTCTTCCATAATGAATTAACCTAGCTTACTGTAACCTTTTTACTTTATAAACTTAATTTATTAAACTTTTTTTGACTCTTTTGTAATAACTCAGGTTTAAAGCACAAACACATTGTACAGCTATACAAAAATATTTTCTTTCTTTATATTCTATTCTATAAGCTTTTTGCTATTTTAAATTTTTTTAAACTCTTTAAACTTTTTTATTAAAAACACAAACACACACATTAGCCTAGGCCTACACAAGGTCAGGATCATCAATATCACTGTCTTCCACCTCCACATCTTGTCCCACTGGAAGGTCTTCAGGGGCAATAACACGCATGGAACTGTTATCTCCTATGATAACAATGCCTTCTTCTGGAATACCTCCTGAAGGACCTGCCTGAGGATGTTTTACAGTTAACTTTCGTTTAAAATAAGTAGTACACTCTAAAATAATGATGAAAAATACAGTAAATACATAAAACAGTGATATAGTCGATTAATATCATTATTAAGTATATGTACTGTACATAATTGTATGTGCTGTACTTTTACATGACTGGTAATGCAGTAGGCTTGTTTATACCAGCATCGCCACAAACACATGACTAATGCAATGCACTGTGACATTATGATGGCTATGATGTTACAAGGCAATAGGAATTTTTGAGCTCCATTATAATGGGACCACTGTTGTATCTGTGGTCCATCGTTAACTGAAATGTTGTTATGTGGTGTATGACTGTATTTCAATACATAAAATGTGTTTTATGCACACATCTCTCAGTTTATTCCTGCGGCCTCTAAGAGCCTCAGCACTTAAGGCATTGATTGCTTTGAGGAGGAGAGTAGGGAAGAGCATCTGGAGTTCTGCACTCAAGGTAGGCCCTAGGACAAGACTCTGGTATAGCAGATAGGAAAAGTGTCAGGCCTAGACACCAAGGTTACTTGGAGGCTCATGGATCATAGAAAGCAGAAGAGAAAATCAAGAAGATAGTTGCCTGTGGAGAACTGTAAAAGTAAGTGGGTACTGAGTCAATGGCCACAACTTATTTCCAGCATAAGGTCTTCAAAAAGGTTGAATAGTCCTCTTAAGATTGCCTGATTTTCTTATCCAAAAGCACTGTCAATTGACTAGACGCTTAGCATTTAGATAGGAGCTTCAGATATATCCAAATAAGATCTAAAAATCACAAAGAAGTTAGAAAACACATTGAAAAATAAAGAAAGCCAGGAAGAGTGGCATATGACTGTAGTGGCATATGACTCGAGGGGCTTGCTTGTGCCCAGGAGTTCGAGGTCAGCCTGTGCAACACAGCGAGACCCTCATTGCTTAAAAAAAGAAAAGAAAACAATAGATACTCACTGTGCAGCAGAGAGTATGTAATGCATGGCAACATCTCCAAATAACACCATCAAGGGCTTCCGGTCTTCCAACTTGCCCTAGACCCAATTTTAGGAAAACAAAGTCATACGAACTATTATTATTAAAAGTCTCAAAGTACTGATATCTTCCATACCTATATAATCAAATATACTGACTTCATAATTTATTATATACCCCAGGGCTCAATGAACACTGGAAGAAAGCCAATTCTTTAAAACCAAATCTGGATAAGACTTGCATTTTAAATGTGTTGGGCAATAATACTGGTATGACAGCAAAGTAAATTACATCCATAGATAATATTCCTATAGAGAAAAAATCCTGGTCCCAATTATTGGCCAAGACAGATATAAAGCCAGTGTAGCTACCATCTGATTCCTAGAATACACTAAGTGAGCTTTAAACTTTAACATTACTTTTTCTTAAGTATGAAGTGCCAAGAATCACAGCTGTTTTAAGAAGCAAGTAGCCTAACAAATCTCTGCCAATGGATCCCTAGAATACTGGCAAACTCCTATCCAAAAGGGTTGGAAGTAGGCAGTAAGTTGGCCTCAAGGAAAAAAACTCTAAACTTTTAAATGTCTTTCTATGACAACAAACACGCAATTAAAGACACAGCCTATCTCAGAGACTCTAAGGATAAAAGTCAGTTTGAAGTGGTAACTTACTTTTCTGCTGACTGCAATGAGAAGACACTCAGCTGCTCCCAACTGAAGTTCCTGTTCATTCAGAAGCAGGCACAGCATCTCCAGGAGTTTACAGTTTTCAGCAGTAATGTGACTCACAGACACCCAGTCAATATAGCCTGCTAGAGTATTCAATGCTGCAACTGCTACTCGACAGTTTGCTTGAGCCTGCATGAGTAGAAATAACTTTTGGCTGTGAAGTCCTCACTAACAGAAAAGGAAGCAGTGGTTATAACTGAATTCCTATTTTTTAATTCTAAAAAGAAAATCATTTTTTAAAAAATATACTCATGGCAGGGCGAGGTGGCTCACACCTGTAATCCCAGCACCCTGAGAGGCGGAGGCGGGCAGATCGCTCAAGGTCAGGAGTTCAAGACCAGCATGAGCAAGAGTTAGACCCCCCCCTCGACTAAAAATAGAAAGAAATTAATTGGCCAACTAAAAATATATATAGAAAAAAATTAGCCAGGCATAGTGGCACATGCCTGTAGTCCCAGTTACTCAGGAGGCTGAAGCAGAAGGATTGCTTGAGTACAGGAGTTTGAGGTTGCTGTGAGCTACGCTGATGCCACAGGACTCTAGCCCGGGAAACAGAGTGAGACTCTGTCTCAAAAAATAAATAAACAAAATAAAAAATGTACTCATAGTGAGACCATGTCTCTATAAAAAATAAAAAAAATTAGCCAGGCATGGTGGCGTATGCCTATAGTCCCAGCTACTTAAGAAGATGAGGCAGAGGATCACTTGAGCCCAGGAGTTTGAGGCTGCAGTGAGCTATGATTATACTCCTCTGTAGCCTGGACAATAGAGTGAGACCCTGTCTCAAAAAAAAAAAAAAAAAATGTACTCATGAAATAGTCACTGATAGGGAACTCAATAGGTTTTCATCTGATATAGGTAGAAACATAATTAAATGAATGTAATTTATGACCACAGATATATGGGCATAATTTAGGAAAACCATGTATACAAAAATATTAGATGCTAAATGCATCAAAATAATGGCTGTTCAGTAAATGTACAAATACGGTTGATTTTTATCCTTGTATTTAAAATTCAAACAATGGCATTCTCAACATCCATCCATAAGACCATACTGGCATGTGTGGCCATTTCATCTTTTTTAAGAAATCCTAAATGTTATAATTTTACCTTCCACCACAGCTCAGTGATCAAAAACAAAATAAAAACAGAAGTAAAGCCGAGGTCACCTTGCACTAGATGTATATGCATCCCCTCACCTGAAAGCCTCAAAAAAGTCTCTTTCCAACCCCACATAGGGCTCTTACCTTGGACTCTTGAGAAGAATCTGTCTTCTGAAAAAAAGGTATAAGGATTCAATGTTGTTAATGAGTAAAAGGCTACATAGATGCGATTTTTAATCTTGGAAAAGAATACAATTTTACTAAGAACACATAACTGATATTACCTTAAGAATTAAAGCCAGGAACATAACTAAATGAATGTAATTTATGACCATGGATGTATAGGCATAAATGTAGGAAAACCATGTGCACAAAAATATTAAATGCTAAATGCATCAAAATAATGGCTGTTCAGTAAATGTACAAATATGGTTGATTTTTATCCTTCTATTTCAAATTCCATAAAATGTTACATAACGTTTATAACTTGTAATTGTATAAAATAAATATTTTCCTAAGGAACTTCTGAAAATAAAATTAAGACTAACTCCTGAAGATGACTAAAGAAGGAATATAAGCAGTAATAGTAACTTCTGAAATACATGGAAATCTATCACTATCAGTATCATATAGTATTTGTTTTACAATTCCTTTTCTGAACTTTCAAATAATTTTTTTTAATAAAGAACAATTATTGACCCCTCATCATCAGTCAAGTAGAGATGTTAACGGGGGCAGAGATGAGTAGAACCTTCAGACCAGCATCTACTACTGCTGCCCCAGAAAGAAACAGAATCCAAGTGATAACAGCCAAGTCCAGCCTCCACCCTCTATGCCAACAAAGCCTCCATGCACCCTGGGACCACTGCAGGAGCCAGGTGACTGGACAGAGAAAGAGAGCCCATTCATTCCATGTTTGTTTACCATTCAATCTACACCCCAATTGGGAAGGTGAAGGGGTGGAAGTAGAGAAGGAAGTAGGAATGAAGTGAGAAGTTCAAGGTATAAAAGATGGCTCTTGGTGTGCTCTGGTCCTGGGCAGAAGTAGAAGCCTGATTTAACAGATGGAGAGAACTGAAACCAAGGCTAAGGAACAAGACCACAGTATATGTTTCTAACTTGTGTCAGAGCCATCACCAGCCAGTCCTCCTCTGGCACATGCTCCATTGGCTAGATATCTAGGGCATCTAACTATTCATGATTTGAAAGTATTCGAAAACCAATGGACTTTACTAAATATTATAGCTGGGAACAGTTTTTCAATGCTACAGAGTTACAATGTTTTTCTTATAAAATAAATGGCCATTTATCTTTTTTTATAGAGATAGTTTCCCTCGGTTGCCCAGGCTAAAGAGCCATGGCGTCAGCCTAGCTCACAACAACTTCAAACTCCTGGGCTCAAGCGATCCTCCTGCCTGAGCCTCCCAAGTAGCTGGGACTACAGGCATGTGGCCACCATGCCCAGCTAATTTTTTTCTATATATTTTTAGTTGGCCAATTAATTTATTTCTATTTTTAGTAGAGATGGGGTCTCACTCTTGCTCAGGCTGGTCTCAAACTCTTGACCTTGAGCAATCCGCCTCAGCATCCCAGAGTGCTAGGATTACTGGCGTAAGCCACCACACCCGGCCTCTGGACACATTTTGGTTGTCATAACAGAGGGGTTGCTAGTGGCATATAGAAGATAGAGGCCAGGGATGCTGCTAAATATCCCGTGATGCACAGGACAAGCCCCCACAACAAAGAATTATCTAACCCAAAATGTTAATAGTTCTGAGGTTGAAAAACTCTGATCTAGAATTCTCATAGCTACTTATTTCACAAAATAGGTTTAATTAAAATTGTTTTATGCCCTTGGCTGCTATATTGGGTTCATTTTTAGAGAAGCATTAGATACTAATGTGAATGATGAGGAATACATACTATAACTGTTAGGGTGGGTGAGAAGGAACTCACAGAGTACGTAATCTATGCTGCATACAGTCATCCCTTGGTATCTTTAGGGGATTGGCTCCAGTCCCCCACCCTAATACCAAAATGCCTGGATGCTCAAGTCTCTTATATTACTTATAATACCTCATATAGTATAAATACTATGTAAATTTTTATGCTATATTAATTTGTTTTTATCGTTGTATTGTTATTTTCCAAATATTTTTTATCTGAGGTTGGTTGGATCTGTGCATAGGGAGGGCCTCACTGTATTTGTTTCACTTTATGTGTTATTTAATCCTCAAAACAACCCTAAAGTCAGAAGGTGTTGTCTCTAAAGGTTTAGAGAGTAATGTTGAAGATCTTTTTTCTGATAAATCATTTTAGTGGAATTTATAACTCATGTTTTATACTATAATAGAGTCTTTCTCCAAAATACTTTCCCAAGATTCTTCAGAAGATAACATCCAGAAAATATTTGCATTTAAAAACCTATGTCAGTGGAGCAGCTGGGCGTAGTGCCTCACACCTGTAATCCTAGCACTCTGCGAGGCTGGGAGGATCGCTCAAGGTCAGGAGTTTGCTCAAGGTCAGGAGTTTGAGACCAGACTGAGCAAGAGTGAGACTGTCTCTACCAAAAATAGAAAGAAGTTAATTGGACAGCTAAAAATATATAGAAAAAATTAGCCAGGCATGGTGGCGAATGCCTACAGTCCAGCTACTCAGGAGGCTGAGGCAGAAGGATTGCTTGAGCCCAGGAGTTTGAGGTTGCTGTGAGCTAGGCTGACACCACGGCACTCTTAACCCAGCAACACAGTGAGACTCTGTCTCAAAAAAAAAAGTGTCCAGATATCTGCAAATGCCCCCCAAGGGACAAAATCATACCCCCTCCAGTTGGAACCACTGTATTAGATTAACTTTCTTTTCTTTTATTTCCCCCTTCCCCCTAGATTAATTTTCAAACTGTCTTCTAAAGGACAGCTGCTAAAAATGATAATGGTTGGAAAGATAATGTCTGGCTCACCCTCTTCTGCAGAAGAAAAACCTCCTCAGGAGAAAATAAAATACCATGGATTATACAGTGAAGATTAATAAACTTGGAAGCTAGTCCACTGCAAAAGGGACCAGGACTAAATACAATGCCACAATTTAACAAGATACTATCCTGACATAACAGAAATCCAAGTTTTCAAATATTTAGTATTAATCTTCACTTCTATACTGTTTTAAGAATTTTCTTACAATAAAGGAATTATTTTTTGTAGACATGGAACCTTACTGAATGGAATTTTTTAGAAAATTAGTTGTAGTTTTTCCCGTCATTTCCCTTTATTTTGCTTATAAAATGTCATTTTCCTTTGTTGAACCAGACACATTAGTTCCTTACTAAAAGTTCATTTTAACTAAAAACAAAAACACTCATATTAGAAAACAAGACTTTTGTGGGGTGGGCTATCCCTTACCACTTGCTGGTACTTGTTTACATTTTCTTGAAGCGTGTTCAGTAGAAAACTGAAGATCCTTTCCATGTTCTGGGTTAACGTTTGCTGGATATCCCTTCTTCTTTGATGGGGAAGTGTCTGAAATGTCACTACGTCCTCTGCCAGTCGCAAAAGGATGAACATCACTAATTCTGTCTGTGTTTCCTATGCCATTAGAAATAGGCTAGTTAAATTACACTAAAACATCTTTTTTATGACATGTATGCCCAAAGGCTATTTTCTGTTGACAAAAAAACCCAAATATCAAAAAACAAAAAAATCCTGAAATTTGTTTCAAGAACAAGTATGCTGAATTGATAAAGCTGTATTTCATACCTCTTGTTTGGAAAGAGCATCCAATTCTATTAACATGTCAGGCCAATGCTGTGGCCACTCTCGCTTGATCATTTCTACTACAATTCGAGATAGAACATCTTTAATATGGTTCTCCTCTTCCAAAATGTTCAATGTTCCCTGAAAAAGAACAAGAGATATTAAGAGGTCTGATAGACTTTCAGGAAAAGAAAACTGGGCTTTAAAAGTGTACAAAATTCATCAGTAGACCTGCTTTTAAACTAAGCAAAACAAACAAACCTGTTCTTCATGGCTGAGTCACTTGTCCTGCATTCTCACTAATCATTCTCCCCACTTAAAGCTTAAGTGAGGATTGCATCAGCTAATAAAATGGTTCACACAGAGCTAGGAAGACATCATTGTTCTTTATAAACTGAAAAAAATTCTCATATTGATTTTTTAAACATTTTTTGTAGCAATGGGGTCTTGCTATTTCCCAAGCTGGTCTCTAACTCCTGGGCTCAAGTGATCCTCCTGCCTCAGCCTCCCAAAGTGTTAGGATTACAGGGGTAAGCCACTGCACCCAGCCTCTCATATGGATGGCTTCAGTGTTTTAGAGGGTCAGGGTGGAAGACTACAGAAATAAAGATTATAGTGAAAAGCTGGTAAAACAGGAGTTTGAAGGAGCAACTGATTACTTTACCAATTAAAACTATTGGTCCCATTATTACCATTTTATTAGTAATAAAAGACATAGAAATATTAGAAGGTACAGATTGTACCTTTCATACCCTTTATTAAAAAAAAAAAAAGAGCCGGGCGTGGTGGCTCACGCCTGTAATCCTAGCTCTCTGGGAGGCCGAGGCGGGCAGATTGCTCAAGGTCAGGAGTTCAAAACCAGCCTGAGCAAGAGCGAGACCCCGTCTCTACTATAAATAGAAAGAAATTAATTGGCCAACTGATATGTATATTAAAAAAATTAGCCGGGCATGGTGGCGCATGCCTGTAGTCCCAGCTACTCGGGAGGCTGAGGCAGAAGGATCGCTCGAGCCCAGGAGTTTGAGGTTGCTGTGAGCTAGCCTGACGCCACGGCACTCACTCTAGCCTGGACAACAAAGCGAGACTCTGTCTCAAAAAAAAAAAAAAAGAAAAGAAACGGCTATGGATTTTAAACATGTTTAAAGTCATATTCTAGTCATATTCAGTCTGCATGTTTTTCATTATTAGTACCACACAGTAGTTGTCCGGAATAAAAAAAACAAAGTGGACAGTGTTTCACCCTCCTTTAGATCTAAAAAATCTTATTCATTTGCTGAAAATGTTCAATCTCCGCTGCTCTGTCTTTATAATTTAAAAAATAGAAGTCAACACAAAAAGGTGATTAATTAAATCTAGTAAGAGATGTGATGCATTATGGATTCTTGTGCTGTCTGACCTATTTGGAACCAATGAATTTTTACACAAACTCTACACTGAAGAAGTCACATTTTGTCTAAAGCCTTAAACTTTAGACTTTAATTAATTTTCTTAAAGACTAAACACAAGTCTTCCAACCACCCATTCCTTACATTTGCAATCAGCTCCATGACACTGTTCTTCAGATAGACCTTCTCCAATCGAGACATGCCGTTCCATCGAAACCTGGCCACCAAAATGTATAAAATCAACAGACTCAAACTAGAAATATTCTCTTCACAAGAGCATAGCTTTGATTCCTGAATTAGATTATACTGGAGATTTCATTAGGAAATTCTTTTAATTTTGTAGCCTTTAAAGAATGGACAAAAACAGTCCACATTTAACCAAAATATCAACAGAAAAATTATTGGGATAGGGTTTTATATATGCAGTGGTTCATTAATTGGAATCCACAAATCAAACTTTTCCCCATGATTTTATCATTAGGCTGAAAGCAAATATACATCTAGGACAACTGCAACAATGTAGCTGCTTTTCAGAAAATATAATCTTAATATTAGTAACTTTCTTTCTGTGCCCGCTTACAAAGTAATAGCACAATTCCAGAAAAACTGTGGCTAAGTCTTAAAGGCTGATTCTTCTGATAGGTGTTGAGAGTAGGGGACTCAAGTTAGAAGGGGTTTTCAGTTATTCTCACATAATCCTTCTTTGGATGTGCCATTCAGAGAATGGTACTCATGCAAACTTAAAAAAAAAAAGGTGCAGTACCTAAGCAGAGGTTTATTTAGCTATACATTGTATTACTCTAAAAAGGATCTGAGGACTGCTGGAATATAGTAGGAGCTCAGTAAGTGCTGGCTGAATGAGTAGCAGCTATTAGCTAACATTTGTTGAATGCTTAATATGTACTATGCACTTTTCACGGATTAAGAAACTGAAAAAGAGAAAAGTTAAGTCCTGAATGAGAGTTCCAATAACATCTAGGGATCTAATAACCTGTGAGAGTCTAATAACATCTTAGGGATCAATACTTTCTCCTTGGGGGCTGCTGTTTTCTATTCACTAAAAAGCATCTCTGTAGGTTATTTAAGAAATAAAGATTTGCTCTCTCACAGACTTCAGTGATAATGTCCAAGAGCATCTTACTTGACAACGTGTTCCAGGATCTGAAGACCAAAATGTCTGACGATGGCAATTTGTGTTTTTTCAGCCAACTTCAAGCCACAAGGGACACAGACAGGGCACTTTTCTTTAAACTCTTCACAAAACTGAAAGAAGAAAAGGTAGAGTTTCCTTTGGGAGCTAAGAAAGGGTGAGCACCAAAAAAATTCCACCTTAAGAAACTCTAACTTAAGCTATATTTTCAAATTATAAAACCTAGCTCAATATTATATGAATAAAGAACTGATAAACATTCTTTCCAGTTTGATGGTTCTACATTTCCCACAATATAGCCAAAAGTAGTAGCCTTACTAATGTTGAAAAAAATTAGATCTAAATTATTTGTTAGAGACACACCCTGAAGTACATAGGGGTGAAATGACAATTTCTAGGATTTGTTTTAAAAACCTTCGAGGGAGAGTGTGGGAAGATAAAGCAAATGTGGCAAAATCTTTATAACTGTTGAATTCATGTGACAGGAGTATGCAGAATCATTAACAGCATTCTACTTTTGTGTTTATTTTAAATATCTGATAACAAAAAGCAAAGTAATAGAACCCAATTGCTTCTGATCCCTAACTCTGTGGCAAACATCTACATACTGTAAAGTTTCCTCCAAGTGGCGCTCACTCTCCTTTATGAAGTTACATCACTTAAAAAATGTACAGCACAAGTATTTTCTTCTGAACAGTTATTTCTCACAGTCCACATATATCGTCTGCCGGGCAAATAAGCTCATATTGCACTAACATCCCCAATTTGCAACGTATGAGTGGGTCCCAGGAGCACAGTATCCGCAACTTAAGAAAACTACTTTTAGGAAACCAAAGTGCACCTGTTAAAATGCAAAGTAAGTGGTAGAAGTTCATCTTTGCGCAAAATAGCCTAAGAATATCACACACTAAAAAACATGGGAGGAGCGGGTGTGTGAGAATTAGCCCAGAAATGTCCAAAACACACATGAGGTTTAAGCGAGACGGATGTAAATAAAAAGAACACTCGAGGGGCTCGAGCTGGGTTAGGACTGGTCAGGAGAGTGGGTCAGCAGGGAAACATTTAGTGCAGGGGAGACTATAAAGAACGAAGCTGGTGGTGGGGCCGGTATATGCACGTGCGCCTGGGGAAGGCAAGGGAATGTGGGGCTCAGGGGATGGACGGGTGCAGCCGGCTTTGAAGGGGGTCGTGGTGACAACAAGAGTGAAAAGAAGTGAGGGAAGGGGGAGGAGGGGGAGTGGGACGTGGAGGTGAGAAGTTAAGAGGCTAGGGACCGGAGTGTCCCAGACGAAGGCCAGGAGCCGTGAGCAGAGAAGGCGGGGGGTGGGAAGAAGTGCTGAGGGCCGCGAGGGGAAGATCCTCGGGGTTTGGAAAAGGAGATCCAGGAGCCACGTGGGCGGGGAACGATCACCCGAATTAGGGCCGGCGCCGCGGCGGATGGGGTCTCCGGGCGTGCCCAGGGTGCCAGGACCCCAGCTACCTTGAGGGCTTCCAGCCGGTAGCGCTGGGTGGAGCTGGGGTCCATCATGACCGTCACCGCTTTCACCAGCTGCTCGCACAGCGCGTTCACTTGATCCATCGCCATGCCTAGTGCCAAGCGCCGCGAGCGCACACCACCGCCGTCCCGGGAGCACGAGGCACCACGGCTCCCTTGGCGGGACCACGTTGGTACCGGGCCGCGGCGGGCTGGGGGAGTGCGGAGCGGGAGGAGGAGCGTGAGCAGCAGAAGCTGGAGCCGGGAAGGAGCAGCCGCTGCGCACGCGCCCGACCCGCCACTGCGCACGCGCCCGCGGAAGTCCAGGCTCCCTTGTGACGGTTGCTCCTGGGTGGGCGGAGCCGGAGACGGAAGGGCTGCAGCGCGCAGGCGCGTAAACGGCTCTTCACAGCGCGCGCGGTGTCTGACCTCAGTCCCGCGAGGTTGCCGCTGAGCGCGCTGCTTCTGCTGAAGCTTGCTGCGCTAAGGGGACGGTTGTTCGGGAAGGAGCCTTTACGACTCCTGTTCTCCTTTTCCGGTTCAGCATCGTCACGGGGACTAAATCTCTCTCAAAACTCGCTCCCAGAAAGGCGATAAGATATTCAAGACTTCTCCGTATCCTTCCATTGGACAGCGAGCCCGGCTTCTGCGGCATCAGCTGTGGGCAGTTTTGCTGGGTGTTTGTTGCCTTGGTAAGATTACTTTTGGGACCGTTCGATATCATTGTTTTCGGACTTTCCATGTTGCGTTAGCTATTGGTTTTATGGTATAGCGGTGACAGCTGACACACTGGGCCGAAATTGTGTGAAATAGAAACCATGCTAACAGAGATAAGGTCCTGGTATTGATTTTTCTTGTAGAAAAAGTATCTTCCCCGCTAGCTCTTCACTTGCGCTTATTCTCCTGGGTGTGTTGTTACTTGATCGGCACCAAACTTGTTTTGTGCAGATTGAGATAAATCGATATATTTAAAGATGAATAATTGCAACTAGTGAAGGTTTATGGAGTTTTGATAATTGGCCAAGTGCTATATATGAGTGATACATACAAGTTGTGTAACTCTTATCCCAAAGAGTTCTGGCAGAAAATGCGCTTCACTTTCCATCTTTGTAAAGCTCTTGCTTTCTTTGGTAAATACATAAATTTGGTAAATACATAACCTGAAAACCGCAACAGTTTTATTATCTGTTAAAGTCTGGATATCTGTTTTTATGTGATTGTGTACTCAGCAAAATGTTTGCTGGACTTAAATCACTGCTGCTTATTCCTACTCCACTTCTGGTATTTGGATCTAATATGGTACTTATCCAGTATTTGTTGGTATTATCTGTTCCAGGACACAGAAAAGCCACTTCAAGGTAAAGGAATTTATGACATGTTGTGGTTTGACTGTCCCATTCTGCCTGTTTTAGGTCAGTAGGCAATTGGAATTTATAAGGAATTAATGCTTTGACTATTCTGATTTTCTTAATTCTTCATTTTTGTTTCACTAATCTCCCTGCTTTGTAGTTGCAGAACCTTTTTCTCAGGGTGAAATGTTAATATTTGAAAAACTTTTTTTAGAATATCAGTTGGGTGCTCACTCAAGTGTATAACCTGTGTTTTTCGTATTTAAATCATGAATTACTGGTGTTTCCATAAGTATCTTATTTACTTTAGGTCAGTTGTTCCAAACTCTGCTGCATACTGGAATTGCCTGGAGAGCTTTTAAAAATCGTGGTGTCCAGGTCACACCATGCCAATTAAATTAGATATCAATTTTTTTTAAAGGTTCCCAGGTGACCCCAATGTACAGCAGCGTTTGGGAGCCACTGCTTTATGTTCCTTCTTCCAGATTGCTAACAATGTAATAACATTAGTCTGTATAAGGTTTAATCTTCCAGTCTACCATTCATACCTTTATCTGTGTCTACCCATGAGTAGTATATAATAGTATTTCTTTTTTTTTTTAATCCTTGCACTGGGGCCATGCTAATCTCTGTATTGTTCCAATTTTAGTATATGTGCTACCTAAGCAAGACAATAGGGTTTCTTTTGTGCTTAACACTTATGTAAATGGTAGAAAATCACTGTTAAAACACTACAAAGAGCTGGGTGCAGTGGCTCAAGTTTATAATCCCAGCACTCTGGGAGGCTGAGGCCAGAAGATTGCTTGAGGCCAGGAGTTCAAGACTAGCCTGGGCAACATAGTGAGACTCCATTTTAAAAAAAAAAAAAAAAAAGAAAGAAAAAGAAAAATTAGTTGAGCATGGTGACACACACCTCTAGTCCCAGATACTCAGGAGGCTGAGGCAGGAGCATCACTTGAGTCCAGGAGTTGGAGGCTGCAGTGAGCTATGATGGCATTACTGCACTTCAGCCTGGGCAACAGGGTGAGACCTTGTCTCTAAAAAAAGAAAAAAGAACACTACAAAGTGATTATTATAGGCAAGATCTACTGATGGGTGCTTAGTGGTTGAAAGGTTGAAGAAAAACAGGATATCTGTTTAGTCTCAAAGTAAACTTGATATTTAGTAGTTACAAAAAAAAAATAACTTCATAGGCAGAAACCTGGCAAAACACCATCTTAACTAACTGATCATGGTTAACATCACTAGTAATAAGAGATATGATGTCATATACTCCTCCCTCATATGGTACACTGAAAAGAGCACATCACTTCCATGATGTTATTGCCCAAGATGCATAACTTCAGTCTAATAATGAGAAAACATCAGACAAACCCAAATTTAGAGACTTTCTCAAAATTAATGACCAGTACTCTTCAAAAGTGTCAAGGTCATGAAAAACAAGGAAAGACTCGGAATTGTCACAGATTGGAGGAGTCTAAGGAGACATCGTGAATAAATGCACTGTAGTATCATATAGTGAATCCTAGAACAGAAAAAAGTAGTGGAAAAACTGGTGAAATCCAATTAAAGTATGTAGTTGAGTTAATATCATACCAATGTTCACTTCTTAATTTTGATAATTGCACAACGTAAAATATTAGCATTAGGGGAAACTGGAGTAGGAGATATGTCTGAAAGTATTTCAATATAAAAAGTTTAAATGTTTTTCATGAATGCTACAGTGTTTATATATCATTTTCTGCTTCTCTTTTCCCTGAGTTTTATACTTGAGATCTGTTTATCAACTAGATTAACTATTATCTCTCTCCCCTAGGGGTGTACATTGTGATTTTATTTGTATTTTTATTTTTTTGGGACAGAGTCTCACTCTGTTGCAGGGGCTAGAGTGCCGTGGCATCAGCCTAGCTCACAGCAACCTCAAACTCCTGGGTTTAAGCGATCTTTCTGTCTCAGCCTTCCAAGTAGCTGAGACTACAGGCATGTGCCAACATGCCCAGCTGATTTTTTTCTATGTATTTTTAATTGGCCAATTAATTTCTATTTTTAGTAGAAACGGGGCCTTGCTCTTGCTCAGGCTGATTTCGAACTCCTGATCTTGAGAGACCCCCCCCCACCTCCCAGAGTTCTAGGATTACAGGCATGAGCCACCATGCCTGGCCTACATTGTGATTTTAATATGCATTTCCCCATGACTAATGGTGTTGAGCCCATTTTCATGTGCCTATTAGCTGTATGTATATCTTGTTTTGTGAAGTGTTCAGTTCTTTTGAGAATGAATATTCTAAAGCTTTTAATACTTATTACCTTCATAAAATTGTACCAGTTTATTCTTGTGCTAGCAGTACAGGTTGAGTATCTATAATATTATTGTGTATGTATATTGGTTTTCATTCATGATTTCTGGCTCATAACTCCCACAGCCTTTGTTATAATGTTGGGGCCTCAAAGGCCTAATAAAACAGAATCTCTCTCTCTCTTCTCTCATCTTCTGGCTTCCTTTCACCTGCCCAGGGCAGGACTCTAATCTTCTCCCGCCTTTCTGATCATGGGTGAAAAGAAGGGATCCTATCACTTCTCAGCCTTTTGGTTAAGATCAAGTGTAAGAAGGGATCCTGCCCCATACCCTGGAGAAAGGAATGCTGCACGGGGAAGCCAAGAAGAATCTGGACAGATAGGCCTTGCTGGATTTCCCTAGTCTATTAGTATTAGATCATACAGGTTTTTGTTTGTTTGTTTGTTTAGATCATACAGTTTTTGCCCAATCACATTTCTACATGGTTGTCAGTCATGCCTTTCCAATGAAGGCTCTCTAAAAGGCCTAAGAGGACAGGGTTCTGAGAGTTTCTGGATAGCTGCACATGTGGATATTCCTGGAGGGTGGCTCGCCAGGGAAGTGCATAGAAGCTCTGCGCTCCTTCTCACATGCCTTGACATGCCTTGCCCTGTGCATCTCTTCATTTATATCCTTTATAATATTGTTTATAATAAACTGGTTAATGTGATTCCCTGGGTTCTTTTAGCCTCTCTGGCAAATTAATGGAATCTAAGAAGGATGTTGTGGAATCCCCAGTTGGTAGCCAGTTGGTAAGAAACACAGGTAAAATAACCAGGGGCTTTCATTTGATACCAGGAGTAGGGGGCAGTCTTGTGGGACTGAGCCCTTAATGGGTGGAATCTGATGCTATTTCCTGGTAGATCAAATTAGAATAGACCTGGAGAATACCTAGCTGGAATCCATTGTAGAATTGTTTGCTTGTTGGTGGGGAGAAATCCCCACATTTGGTCACAGAACTCTTCTGTGTTGATTGTTGCTAAGTCAGAGAATAGAAAAAAACACTTTGTGTTTTTTCCACTCAGAGTATCTCTAATCTGAATATTTGAAATTTAAAATGCTCCAAAATCTGAAAAATTTTGTGCACCAACATGATGCTCCAAGGAAATGTTCATTGGAGCACTTTGGATTTTGGAGTTTTGGATTAGGAATGCTCAATCAGAATCCCAAATCTCAAACACTTCTGTTCCCAAACATTTCAGATAAGGAATACTCAACCTGTGTATGAAAATGCTTATTGATTCTCGTTAGTTTCTATGCTCCTGTGCACTGGTAACTCATCAATGAAAGAATGGAAATGTGGTTCTCCCTAGCATTTGGATCTTTCTAACTGTCTATAAAACATTGTCTTATAGAAAAATGGCTACTGGACAGGATCGGGTGGTTGCTCTTGTGGACATGGACTGTTTTTTTGTTCAAGTGGAGCAGCGGCAAAATCCCCATTTGAGGAATAAGCCTTGTGCAGTTGTGCAGTACAAATCATGGAAAGGTGGTGGGTATGTATCACTGTTATTGTTATAACTATCATCTACTATTTTAATCTATGGGAATATAATAAAACTGTGCTAGGTCCTGTTTTTGAGATTTTTGAACTGCTGTGTTTGGGATTGAATGGTGGCATCTGTCAAAAAGTTTCTAATATTATGTTTATTACCCTACCTGTGATAAATTTTAATAGTTATTGCTGTGGTCATGTAATATTTTTTTCTATTCCCTCTTTTTTTCTAACCTTAGAATAATTGCAGTGAGTTATGAAGCTCGTGCATTTGGAGTCACTAGAAACATGTGGGCAGATGATGCTAAGAAGTTATGTCCAGATCTTCTACTGGCACAAGTTCGTGAGTCCCGTGGGAAAGCTAACCTCACCAAGTAAGAAAAAAGATTGTTTAAGGGGACATAGACGAGTTGAAAGTAATATAATTCGTGGGACTAGGAACTGGTGTTTCAAATTTGTTTTGTATAAATAATATCCGAAAAAGTTCCCTTTGATCAGCCATCTTGTCTCTGAAATGAAAACAGATTTTGATATTGTGTTTCAGGAACAATTCAGAACTGTTATAACCTATAACAGTTGCTGCTTTTGACACCCATTCAGTTTCCTTTTCTTTCCCTTTCTCTTTCCCTTTCCCTTCCCACCAGAGTCTCACTTTGTCGCCCTGGCTAGAGTACCATGGCGTCAGCCTAGCTCATAGCAACCTCAAACTCCTGGGCTCAAGCGATCTTTCTGCCTCAGTCTCCTGAGTAGCTGGGACTACAGGCATGTGCCACCATGCCTGGCTAATTTTTTCTATATATTTTAGTTGGCCAATTAATTTCTTTCTATTTTTAGTAGAGCTGGCGTCGCTCTTGCTCAGGCTGGTTTTGAACTCCTGACCTTGAGCAATCCATCCGCCTCAGCCTCCCAGAGTGCTAAGATTACAGGCGTGAGCCACCGTGCCTGGCCCATTCAGTCTCTTAAATGTTTAAAAATTGGCTGTTAAATTAAAAGTTAATACCAGTCCCTACTTTCTCAATCCAGAAGTCTAAAGTATTTGAAGAAAATAATTAAATTGACTGTGAAGCTGAGCATTTTTCTAGGAAAGGCTGAGTCAAATTGGCTTTCTAGTGCAATATCTAGAATTATTTACCATAATTGAGCAATCTCAAAGGAGATTACTTTTTTAATTTTTTATTTATTTATTTATTTTCATGATGAGAACTCTCAAACTATACTTTTGTTTTTAGATTAAGTTGTCTCTTCACAAATATTGGAAATTTAGCCTTGGAATGGGAGATGTGCATAGACATAGCCAAGTCCGAGGTAGGCACAAGCTCTAGCTATTAAAATAATCCTAAGAGGTAATATGTGTTAAGCACGTGTTACCTATTAGGCACTGTGTTAAGCTCTCTAAAGGCAATATCTTTTAAATCTTATACCGTCAAGTTTGTTTGTTTATTTTTGAGACAGAGTCTCACTTTGTTGCCCAGGCTATAGTGAGTGCCGTGACGTCAGCCTAGCTCACAGTAACCTCAGTCTTCTGAGCTTAAGCGATCCTACTGCCTCAGCCTCCCGAGTAGCTGGGACTACAGGCATGCGCCACCATGCCCGGCTAAGTTTTTGTATATATATTTTTAGTTGGTCAATTGATTTCTTTCTAACTTTGGTAGAGATAGGGTCTCACTCAGGCTGGTTTCGAACTCCTGACCTCGAGTGATCTGCCCGCCTTGGCCTCCCAGAGTGCTAGGATTACAGGCGTGAGCCACCACGCCCGGCACCATCAAGTTTAAAGAGGTTAAATAATTTCAGTTCACATAGCTAAGTGAAAGACTGAGGAATTACATCTATTTTTTTCGGATTCTGTTAGGTCATTAAAACTGAAATGTCGGCAGAATACAGTGTCTTACACCTGTCTTTAGTCCTAGCAGTCTGGGAAGCCAAGGTAAGAGGATCACTTGAGCTCAGAAGTTTGAAACCAGCCAAAGCAAGAGCGAGACCCTGTCTCTACTAAAAATAGAAAAATAAGCTAGATGTAGTGGTGTGTTCCTGTAGTCCCAGCTACTCGGGAGGCTGAGGCAGGAGGATTGCCTAAGCCCAGGAGTTTGAGGTTGCTATGAGCTAGGCTGACGCCACTGTACTCTACCCGGGGCAACAGAGTAAGACTCTGTCTCAAAAAAAAAAATACCTTGGAGTCATTTGCTCTAGATGCTGTGAACCCAGCCTGTGCAAAAGTGAGACCCCAAAATAGAAAAAATAAAAAAAAATTAGCTGGGTGTGGTGGTGCATGCCTGTAGTCCCAGCTACTCAGGCAGCTGAAGCAGGAGGATCACTTGAGTCCAGGAGTTGGAGGTTGCTGTGACCTAGGCTGATGCCTTGACCCCAGGCAACAGAGTCAGACTGTGTCTCAAAAAAAGCAGTATTTCTCTAATTCTGTCATTGAGAATGTTTTAGAGCAAAAATTATACTAGTTTTTATAGATGTCTTGGTGAAGAGATGTAAGTATTTCCATTTTTATGGTAAATATAAGTTCAACAGGAACAGAGAACTTTAAATTGCATATCAGGTGCAAACCAAAGCCAAGAAACTATCTGTATATTGTCATAGAAAACCAGCTATATGGCAGAAGAGCTGGTTATTGTGGTTTGAGTAAAAGGTATATGATGAGACTGTTATCCAGCGTTGCCTGCCTGCCTGGACACATCATTGCATTCTAGGTGTTTATTGTCAACTTGGTAATTGGAACTTAGTATATCCATAAATTATTGGTTGGAGTATGCATATATGTGGTGATGATCAGTTCACACATTAACCAAATTCACCATTGACTGAAATATAAAACCCATATGTCAGTTTGTTAATTTATAGTGAGAAATATTAGCCTGAGGAAGACCAGATACACTGGTTTACTGATGAGTGCAGTGTTCCTTTAAGTTACCTCTTATTTAAGGATGGAATTAGAAGACTGTGTGGTGGATATGTGGGAGGAAAAATCATAGTAAAATGTTTTCTACTTAAAACTAGTTAGAGGCATTTCTTTCTTCTTTAGAGGAATTCTTGTCACATAGACATGTTCATGGTCTGGATGCTTTCTACTGTAGTAGTGCTAGCATTGTGCTAAAAATGTTTGCTTCAGTGGCTCTTCCTTGTGCATTCTTCTGTTATTGACCATCTGCCTGCCAATGGACCTCTTCAGTTGTTCCTATTATCTAGTCTCTTAAGCCACTTGTCTCTTGATTGTGTATATTACTGTTCATTATGGAAGGGTGGGCATGAGACTGACAATCTCAAGATTACCTCTGTTTATTGCCTACATATATGATCCTTATACTTAGGTACCGGGAGGCCAGTGTTGAAGTGATGGGGGTAATGTCTCATTTTGCTGTGATTGAACGTGCCAGCATCGATGAAGCTTATGTAGATCTGACCAATGCTGTACAAGAGAGACTACAAAAGCTACAAGGTCAGCCTATCTCAGCAGACTTGTTGCCAACCACTTACATTGAAGGGTTGCCTAAAGACCCTACAGCAGCAGAAGAGACTGTTCAGAAAGGTACTTCCATAGCATCATATTTCTTCTGCTTTCTGCCTTTGGAACCTGCTTTGCTTGGTCATGTTGGTTCTTGGAATGCTTGAAAGGAAACTTAAACTACAGCCTGAATGAATCACAAGGACTCACATGGAAGGATATACAAATTCTCTTATCTTTCCAGTTATATGAATGTTGAGAAGCTATGAAATCTATATGAAAGTAAATTTCTCTTTATATAGATAGCTAGGGCACCTTAGTGTTATCAATAGAAGATAGAAGACTGACTGGGGACTGCCATCATTTGTAGGTTAATTTATATTATTGTAACTTAGTTTCTTGGTTTCTTCATATGTAAGAAGGATGAGCTTTTATAAGTTATACAGTATTGCTTTGTGTATGTGCTTTTAAATTTGTGTTTTTTAATTACAAGTGACTTTGTGCCATTATAGATCTCATTCTTTTTCTTCATTTTCCTTCCATGGTCATTTTAGACATCTATCCATGTGGTTGTATTTATATTAAGTAATGGCTTTTATCTGCAGCAAAATCCATGGTATAGATTGACCACGTTTACAGATCATTCTCCCTAGTGATGAGTTCATTGGTTGTTTTTAACACACTGATGTTTGTATAATAAATGTCCTTATTTATTCTCTTTTGGACCTTTGCAAGGGTTTCTCTGATAAATGTTTTCAAGGGTGGACTTCTAGGTCATAGGGTATACATATATATTAATACTTAGTTTCACTAAGCACCACCAAATTGCTGAAATGGTTTGTATTCTCTCTGGCAATATGTAAGATTTCCTGTTTTCCCCATGTTCTTTTTTTTTTTTTTGAGACAGAGTCTCGCTTTGTTGCCCAGGCTAGAGTGAGTGCCGTGGCGTTGGCCTAGCTTACTGCAACCTCTAACTCCTGGGCTCAAGTGATCCTCCTGCCTCAGCCTCCTGGTAGCTGGGACTACAGGTGTGCACCACCATGCCTAGCTAATTTTTTCTATGTTAGTAGAGATGGGGTCTCCCTCTTGCTAAGGGTAGGTCTTGACCTGAAGTGATCCTCCTGCCTTGGCTTCCCAGAGTGCTAGGATTATAGGTGTGAGCCACTATGCCTGGCCTCTTTAATGTTTTTTTAAAAATTAAGAATATTTATGTCTTGTAATGTTTCTGCTTCTGAGATCTGGAGTCCAATATGTTATTTCCTTTTTTCTTTCTCAGGTAAATGTTTTTTTTAATAATCTATAGATTTTTAATTTCTTTATTCATTTATTTTTGAGACAGGATCTTACTCTGTCCCCCTGGCTAGAGTGAGTACAGTGTTGTGATCATAGCTCAGTGCAACCTCAAACTCCTAGGCTGAAGCGATCCTCTTGCCTCAGCCTCTCATGTAGCTGGGAATACAGGTATGCAGCACCACGCCTGGCTAATTTTTGTATTTTTTGTAGAGACAGAGTCTTGCTCTTTTTCAAGCCAGTCTCGAACTCCTGACCTCAAGTGCAGTCTTCCTGCCTTGGCCTCCTAGAGTGTTAGGATTACAGGCGTGAGCCACGGCACCGAGCCAGTTATGCAATTGTGCCTTTCCATGAACAGAGGTTCTCAACCCTTTGCACTCGAATGTCAAGTGTGACTCGACACGGTTAGCAAAAATTATAGAGATTACAATTACTCTTTGAATGTATCAATAATTTGAAATATAAAAAAATCCAAATAAATAAGTTTGTATGAAAAGAAACTCCAGTTTTTTATTCTACTGCTGCGCTTTGTAAAATCTGGGGTATTTAAAAAATTAAATCCCGCATAGAATAAAGGAATCGAGAAAAAAGCAAGCAAATGCAAAGGGTTAATTTTAATTTGGTCCAATTTATCTCGCCCCCCCCCCTTCATAGATAGTACTATCTACGTCCTATTTAAGAAGTCTTTACATACCCAAAGGTCATGAAGATATTCTTCTGTTTTGTACTAGAAGTTTTGTTGTTCTAGCATTCACATTTAGATCTATAATCCTGTGTGTGTGTTGTGTAAGGATCAATATTCCTTTTTTTATTATGAGTATTCAATTGTTACATCTTTACTAAAGCTTTACTTTTCTCTATAAAGATCTTGTGCATTCATTTGTTAAATTCTTGGGTACTTTAAACTTTTGGTTGGCATTGTGATTTTATATATTTTTGAAACTTTATTCTTGGTTGACATGTAGGGGACTGATAAATGATTTTTAAATAAGTTCATCTTTATTTAAAAGTTCACCTTTATTTACTTGTTCTACCAGACAAAAACTTATGATATAATCTGTATGTAGTACTTTAATAAATAAAAATGAACCTGAAGACTAAAAATGTTTTCTTAGACTACAGTAAAATTAGGGCAATAAAAAACTTGCTCTTTTGGTAATATTATAATAGATTATGATAGCTTTAGATTCCAGATCTAAGAATTTATATAAAAATAGGTCTTTTTTTAAGTTGAATATTATGAAAGTAGTATTCAGTTGTGTCTCCCAGAGCAAAGAATTCTTCACCTAGAGGCTTTTCAACAGTGTCTCCATCTTTTTCCTAGGCATTTCCTAGTGCTTTCCATATGGCTATATTTATAACAGTGTATCTCTACTCTTTATTTGTAACATGTAATTTTGAACTATTATTTTGTAACATTATTTAGAAGAGCTCTTTCAATAAAAACTTTTGAATGTTGGCCATTAACCAAAGGAAACTGTGTGGACACAAATCTGTAACAAGTTAACTTCTTGGGAAAACTAATCTGTGTTACTACTTACAGAAAGAGTACAGATTTGTCCACAAAAAGCTCCAAGAGAATTTAGCTTATTTCTAGTCACAGTGATGAATTTTTCATGGGTTCCATGTTTTAAATAAGATGTAGAATGTAAAGTTTGCTTTTGCTGTTGAACAGTTATATATACTTTTTTTTTTTTTTTTTTAATGAAGGGGTAGCAGGTTGTGAGTAGGGGAATTCATTTGCCTTATTTGTTTTTGTTGAGACAGAGTCTCAATCTGGCGCCCTGGGTAGACTATAAGTGGCATCGTTGTAGCTCACTGCAACCACCAACTCCTGGGCTCTAAGTGATCTTCCTGCCTGAGCCTCTCAGGTAGCTGGGACTGCAGGTGTGCACCACAACACCTGGCTAGGTTTTTTTTTTTTTTCCTTTCTTTTTGGTAGAAACTGGGTATCACTCTTGCTTGGGTTACTCTCAAACTCTTGAGCTCAAGCAATCCTCCCACCTCAGCCTCTCCGAGTGCTAGGATTACAGGTGTGAGCCACCTCACCCAGCCTATATATACCTTTAATGCTTTCTACTGAAGGCTAGTAGCAGAGAACTGCCTGGGAGGGCTTGGGACTTAGTAATTATTTTAATCTCTGATACTGATAATACAGATTTTTTCAAGCTGGAGGCTGTAGATCCTTTAGTTCTCTGGGGAAAATATAATGGACAGTAAAAATATGCCACTTACAAAGGAGGCATGGCTGGGAGCAGTGGCTCACGCCTATAATCCCAACCCTGGGAGGCCAAGGCCAGAGGATCACTCAAGGTCAGGAGTTCGAGACCAGCCGGAGCAAGAGCAAGACACCGTCTCTACTAAAAATAGAAATTAGCTGGACAACTAAAAATACATATAGAAAAAAATAATTGGGCATGGTGGTGGCGCATGCCTGTAGTCCCAGCTACTCGGGAGGCTGAGGCAGGAGGATTGCCTAAGCCCAGGAGTTTGAGGTTGCTGTGACCTAGGCTGATGCCATGGCACTCTAGCCCAGGCAACAAAGTGAGACTTTGTCTCAAAAAAAAAAAAAAAAAAAAAAAGGAAAAAAGAAAATAAAGGAGGCAAAGTAATAGCACACAATGAAAATGTCAAGATTTTGTTCTGGAATTAGAGTCAGAAATTTAATTATAATGAAAGTTTTCTTTGGTGTAGCTTTGTGTACCATATCTTAATTGCATGGCTTTTTAAAAAATATTTGGAATTGTTTTTATAATGCTTTGAATCTGTGGTTCTTTAAAGTTTTTTGTGGGTTATATATTCTTTTGAAAATCTATTAAAGCTATATAGTCCCTTGCTTGCCTCATAAAAATACATGTCTACACATAAGATAGTTTTATATGCAGTTTCCAGGAAATTTACAAACTCTAAAACCCACATACCTCAAAATTAGAGCTAGTCTTATACATTATGTGGATTTCGGCTGCAAAGCATTGTTGAAGAGCTTTGATACGTATATCTGGCTGTGCTGTACTTGGTGGCTGCACCTGTAGTCCTAGCTACTTGGGAGACTGAGGCAGGGAGGATCGCTTGAGCCCAAGAGTTCTGGGCTGTAGTGTGCTCTGCCAGTCGGGTGTCTGCATTAAGTTTGGCATCAATATAGTGACCTCCTGGGAGTGGGGGGATCACTAGATTGCCTAAGGAGGTGTCAGCCAGCCCAGGTTGGAAACAGAGCAGGTCAAAACTCCTGTGGCAATCAGTAGTAGCATCAAACTTGTGAATAGCCACTGCATTCCAGGCTGGGCAACATAATGAGATCCCATCTCTTGGGGGAGGGTAGGAAGATATCTCTGGCTGAAGATGGTAGTATATACCTTCCTTGGCAGGCAAATGTTAATTCAAATGGAAAGGCTCCTCTTTCTTCTATACCTACCTTAGCTATGTACATTTTTATTAAAATATGCCTATGTTTATAAAGAATTCTATTCCTATGTGTGCCTTATGTATATGTTGCTTTAGTGTGTGCAACTTAAATATTAAGCTCTCATATGCAGTGACATTATGTATAGTGTTCAGAACAATGCAGTGTCTAGGAAATGGTATATAATGATAATTTCATATCATATCCCTAAGTTTTTGTATGGTGTGTGCAACTGCGCCAAAACTGGTAACAGAAATTAGCTGGTCTAAATGGATGTAATCTTCCAGAAATTACTTTTCACAGATGTGACATATTACAAATATAGGAAGGGAGGCCAGATATTTGTAATATTTTGATACTAAAGTTTCTGTTCCACTTTGCCATCTTCCTTCTT